GGCGGGGGCTCCTTCTCTGCAGGCGGACCTGGCAAGGGCATGTACTCGCGCCTCTACACAAAAGTCCTGAATCGCTATCATTGGATGTACAGTGCCACGGCTTACAATCATGCCTACACCGACACCGGCTTGTTCTGCATACACGGCAGTGCGCCGCCGCAGCACTTGAACGACATGGTCGAGGTGATAATCCGCGAAATGTTAAGCATGGCAGCGGAACCTGGCCGCGAGGAGTTGATGCGCTCGAAAATACAGCTGCAATCGATGCTACTGATGAATTTGGAATCGCGGCCTGTAGTTTTCGAAGACGTCGGGCGTCAGGTGCTTGTGACGGGGCATCGTAAGCGTCCAGAGCATTTTATTAAGGAGATCGGTAAGTAGAGTACACTGCAAAAGCTAGAATATCATCATAAATTAAATATTTTTTACAGAGAAAGTGTCCGCCGCTGATATACAACGCGTGGCCACACGACTGCTTAGCTCCCCTCCATCACTGGCTGCACGCGGGGACATCACCGGCCTGCCCGAAATGAGTCATGTGACCAACGCCCTTGGCGCTGCTGGTCGCTCCGGTCTGGGGCGACGTTTGTCCCTCTTCAAATAGCACTGGACGTGAGACTTCCAAGAAATGAGAAATCATTTCACATTGTTGCGCTCGTAATTTGAAGAGCATTCATGTTTTGTTTGAATTGGCTAAAATATTTACCAAAATTCAACTTTGTTTCGTTGCACTTTATTTTGGCAGAGCTACATTTAAGTTAAAGTACATTTTGGAAATGCAAGCGACATTGAAAGAACTTAAGTACACATTCAGTCGACTTCTAAGACAATGGCGATGAGGACGATGGCGAGGACAGGGATGACGCTGACGAGCTCTTTCGCATGCGACGACGACGCTTGGGAGTTATTTTGGAGGTGTCGCTATCGCTGTCACTGCTGCTGTCGCTGTCGACTCCACTCCGTGTCAAGCGATGGGCTGCTGAAAATGGGCAATTACCAATTGTTGCACCAAGCGGAAAGTTTGGGCGTACTCACCAGTCGGACTCTTGGCAGAGCCATTTTCAAGTTCATCATCCTCCGGCAACTCGTCGCTGGAGATGTTTTCATGCATGCGATACTGCTTGGGCAAGTGAGATTCATCCTGCAAGAGTGCTGTGTATTTTGGTTTCTTGGCTTTGTCCTCGTCCGGTTGCTTGTCGGCATCGTTGTCCACCTCGCTGCCCGTCTGCTTCTTAATGCTCTTGGCAATCACCCGCTTCTGGTGATCCAACTGTGGGAAGAGGTCCCGCGAGTTATCCAAGGCCTGCTTTGCTGCGTTCATCTCGGCCTGCTGAATGGAGGCGCCACTGGAGGTGGCCAAGCGCTTTGATCGGAAGTAGACAGCCACCTTGTAGACACGCGTGTTGGTCGGACCGCTGGCCTCTACCACCTTGTAGTAGGGTATGTCCGGCTCCCCGCCATCCATGGTGCGCAGTGTAAGGCAACATTGCTGCAGCTTGGACTTGGGATCGTTCCAGTCCTGATTCATGATAAACAACTGAAGGCGCGGAAACAGGCACACATGACAAAACTGCTCGCAGAACAGTAGACCCTTGTCAACATATAGCGAGCCCAGAAATGCCTCCAGCAGATCAGCGCGGTCCTTGGTCTTAAGGTCAGCTTTGGGATTAGCGTAGACGGCATATTTGGTCATGCCCAGGTCATCGCACACCACGGCCTGCGTGCGATTATTGACCAGCGAAGAGCGTAGAAGCGACAAATGTCCCTCGTGATGCTCCGGGAAGTGACGGTACAGATATTCCGAGCTGATCAACTGAAGGACAGTGTCGCCCAGGAACTCTAAGCGCTGATTGGAGCCCAACGTGAGATGGGTGAAGCCGATAGAGCGGTCGGTGAAGGCGCGGGCCAACAGTCGGATGTGCTTGAACTTCAGCCCAATCGAGTCCTCGAATTTAGTAAGATCCTTCAGGACGCGGTAAGAGTCAATGCAACGGCGATCGCCCAAAGGTTCTTGTTCCTGCAGCGGATGCTCCGGAAGGTTTTTCCAAATGTTCAAAAGTTTGCCTTCCTTCCTGAAGAGTGCCTCCGTGAAGACTTCGTCAGCTACCTTGATGCCGCCATCCAGCAAGAGGGCTCCCATCAGGGCCTCAAAGCAATTGGCCATGGCGTGACGTAGCTCCAGTTCGTGGCACAAATCGGATCCATGGGCATACAGCATAAACTCCTCGAGCTGCAGCTTCTTCGCCAGCAGAGCCAAGTGTTGATTCTGGACAATGGCTGCTCGGTAGGTGGCCAGGCCGCCCTCCTCCAGCTCTGGGAACATAAAGAACAAATGAATCGAACTGAGGAATTCCACGACAGCATCGCCCAGGAACTCCAGGCGTTCGTTGTGGGTGATATTTGAAAGTGTCTCCTGATCCTTGCCAAAGCGTGACATAATGCTGACCAGGGTGTTGATGCCCCTCTTCCTTGTGTTCATGTAGTGGATCTTGCGGTCCCCGTACTCCGGCTGCCGGATGCCACAGTTGGTGAGCGAGTTGCGAGCATGGTCCGGATTGGTGCCGTAGTTCTCCTTGTACGAGGGATGCGTCAGCGCCAGCTGCAGAAGATAACGATTCTTGAATTGATAGCCAATACTCTCCTCGAGCAGGTCCAGTGACTTGTGGAAGCGTAAGTGGCAGGTCAACACTGGTATCAGCATGGCATGCTGTACAATGTCGCACATGATGCCAGTGCGATAGAAGCCCTCCGAGCTGATGGCCACCGTGATGTTGCGCTTCATCCGTCCCTGTGTGCGCATCTCCTGCAGCCTCTGCTCCTTGTCCTCCAGCTTGCGCTTGTCCTTGAACGAGGGCTTCGACATGTTCGCCATTAAATGCCGGAACTTGACGTAGTCACGCCAAGCCTTCTGGTACTCCGGATTGCCTGCATAACTCAACTGGGGCGGACGTATGCCAAAGTGGACAATGGCCGGATGCGAGATACCCGATTCCTGGTGCACGCACTCGGGAAGGTCTGAGTTGTTTCTGTCCAACTGGTCCACACGCAAAGAGCACGGCTTGTGGCCCGGCTTTGTCACCAGCATGCCCTTTATAAAGTCCACATAGTTCTGCCACTCGCTCTGGCTGATCTGGTTCAAGTGCAGCAACTGCTGCCGCTCCACTAGCTCGGCCGAGTTGTCCAGCAGATACTTTAGTACCTCACACATAGCCAGCACCTCTTTGCCATTGTCGGGCAGGTCCCGCACGAACCGAGGGAGGAAATGAAACGCTGGGCAGGATTCAACACCATCAGATCCAGCATTGGGCTCCAGGTTAAAGTCAACCAGCTCCAGCAGCTCGTGGAATAGGTATTTGACTGCGATGCAAAAGGGTTAGTCATAAGTCATTAATGATTTTAAGATTATGTTCCATGCATTCTTACAGAAGAGGTCCAGCTCGAGAATGGTGAAGTTGTCGGGCATCTTCTCCTCGTCGTACTCAATGGTGTACTCAATGTTGAAGCGAATCACCTTGCAGACGGGCAGATCGGTGAGGCGTACATGGGAAAGCAGCGAGAATCCCTCGAAGAGAAACTCGTGCTCATCGTGCTTGATAATAGTTGGCGTCTTGGTCAGAAAGTTTGTGGGTGGCGAAATGGTTATGCGATAATGGAACAGACTCTTGGCATTGTTTGTGGATTTGTCGCACAGCTTGTAGCCGGTCTCTCCGGGATAGATGCCATGCCGAATGCCGCTGCGGCGCGACTTTGCGGAGCAGCGACACAGCGGACCATCGTTCATCTCGCCTGCATCATTGTGCCAGAGATCGGCATGAACACGCTGCGGATGCTGCACCTTGCGCGACAATTCCTCCATGCAGCAGTCCTGCTCGACCTTGAAACCGTCTTCGTCCGAGTCGTCATCGGACGACGAGGAACAGGCCTCCGACTTGTGTTTATGCTTGCAGACTCGACGTCGCGCCTTCCTCGGAGGCGGCGCATACGCCGGCAACGTCTTACGCACTCGATCCGCCCTCTTAAGTAGCTCGTCCTCAAAGAGATCGCACAGATTCTGCAAACGCTTCTTGCTTCTCACTTCGTTTTCGTTATTGGTACGCTCGTAATATGGCTCCGCAGGCGATGATCTTACCCAAGACTCGACGTTCCCTGCCGACTCGTTGAGGGCATTCATTTTCTCAATGTAATCCTCTGGCTTCTCGCAATAGTTGGAGCACCATTGGCGCAACAGACGATCTCGCTCCGTTTCCACTTTGGGTTTGGACTTAGATTGCGTCGCTTTTCCATCACCTGGCTCACATCTTTCTCGATAGCTGCGGCTGGCATACTCCTCGCCGGAACCACCTCTTGGAGGGTAATAGGTATGCTGCGACGGTCGGGGTTCTCTCTGCGGATAGTACGCATGCCGTGGATCATATCGCTTGGAGTAGTTGTATCCCACAGAGTGGTTGCTGTACCCTGGATTCACATTGTACGAATGAGGTCTTGGGTTATTCGGTCGAAAGTTTGGCGTGTACGAGTAACGATCCTGGTATTTGTACACGTCATAGGAATGCGCGCTCTGGTCGTATTGGCCATATTGTGGCGCTTGGTACTGATAACCCTCATACCCGTACGCTCCTTGGTGATACTCATCGTAAGTTGGCGCTGCAGAAGCGTTGAAAGAGGCGTCTGGATGTCTATAGTAGGGTGTGGAGCCCCCCTGAGCATACTCGTTCACCGGGGGCGTAGCATTTTGGCTGTAGTTGTACGAGGATGAGCTGAGATCTTTCACACCAGGTGGCGGCGGATCCGTAGTTGGCGCTGGTAGAAGTGGCACTTGCTGCGGTGCTGCAGGCCTAGGTTGATACATTGTTTCCAATAAAGAAAACTTATTTTCAATCCACTATGATCTGCACACTGCAATGCTTGAACGCAGCTGGCAACTCTACCTGTTTGTTTACGTTGTGCTGGCTGATCTGGCAAGGCCTGGAAAAAGCAATCGATGTTTATACAATTAACATCGATATCCCCCCAAATTAGCATGCATTTACTCCGTTCTTTAACTTATTTGCGAATCCAGCGGACAATGGCGTATTATGCTGTTGCGAGTGGGCGAAAGGCGGGAATCTACGAAACATGGGCTCAATGTGAGCAGCAGGTGAAGGGCTTCAAGAATGCCGTCTACAAGAAATTCAACACACGCCAGGAAGCGGAGCAATTCATAAACATTAAAAGTAGCTACGCGCCCCATGAAGTAGCAGTTCCGCTGGGACAAAAGCAGCCTCCGCCATCAAGCTGGGGCACTACCAAGAAACAGGAGCCACAATACACAGAAGCATGGCCAGACGAAGATCACGACCTGGTGGAGGACGAGCTGGTAAGTAAGAGCAATCGTTGGCCTGCGATTGGGGGTTTATGTTTTTTGTTTTACTTCCAGAATGCAGCCATGAATGAAGTGGAGGGAGATCCGAAACCAACCAGCAGTGGTAGTCTGGTAAACAGAAGGCTTTGTTTGAAATGATGTCCCATATTCTATTAAACTCTCCCTGTACAGATCTATGGAACGACACAAAAACGAAAATTGGACACCAGCGAAGATCGACAAAAGAAAATAAAACGGCATGTTTCCCGGGTTGCAGAAGCTGCTGGCATCAAGCACGTCGGCGAATTTGAGTTTGAAGTCGATGCCGAGGGCTATGTAATTGTATACACAGATGGCTCTTGTATAGGAAATGGTCGCAAAGGAGCAAGTGCCGGCTATGGAGTCTACTTTGGCGACAATCACCCACTGTAAGTAAGCGCATGCCAATTTCGGAAAGCTGTTGAATTGTTAAATGTCCATGTAGAAATGCAGCCCAGCCAGTGAGCGGACGCGTCACAAATAACGTGGGAGAGATACAGGCAGCTATTCATGCCATCAAGACGGCTCTGGATTTGGGCATTGGGAAGCTTTGCATTTACACGGACTCGCAGTTCCTGATCAACTCCATAACCTTGTGGGTGCAAGGTTGGAAGAGGAGGGGCTGGATGTTGGCAAACAATCAGCCGGTAAAGAATGTAGTAGATTTTAAGGAGCTGGACGAACTACTCCAGAACAAGGACATCAAAGTAAAATGGGTAAGTATTTCGCTTCAACGTATCTTAGTGTTATCATTAATTTTCTTCCTCTAGAACTATGTGGAAGCCCACAAAGGCATTAAAGGCAACGAAATGGCTGATAAATTGGCGCGACAAGGATCCGCCTTGTACAAAGAACAGAATTTAAAATAATCATTAATTAGACATTAGTTTTTGAATTTCGCGCTTAGACCAAGGTGTGGAATGCAGCCGATATGGCAGCACCAAATAAAATCGCAGACAGTGACAACTCCAGGCAGAATGTTTTTATTTACAATTGTGCCTGCTAATTTTGTGTTTCATTAGCTAAAAATGATTTCAAAGCGTAATTGGAAGAGTGCAATATGCGTGCTTACCCTACTGGCAAGTGCAGCACGCAGCTATATTCTGCAACAGCCTGTGGTGCACGTGGAAATGGAAAAGGCCGGCATGCACAGGTCCGTACAAGAAATCAATTCTGTCTAATGAACAATATGAATTGTATTCTATGCTGCATGCTACAGAACACTAACGTACAAAGTGCAGTTCGATTATCCGCTGGCGGGCAAGGATTGTGACTATATGCTGCTGCAACCGCTGCCGGCCGGCGTTTACATAAGCACCGACGAGCTAGACGATTTGCAACGCCTGAAAAGAGTAAGTTCGAGTGCATGACTCAACCAGCGGCTTATCCCATTGACTTTCTAGCTAAGTGCCGTCTACCCGAAGTTTGTGAACATTGAAGAGGCCACCGAGAGGGCCCAGCCGTTCTCTGTATTGCTACGAGGAGTGCCGAAGCTAATGGAAGTTGTCACACTTCCAATACATTTTCGCTATCATGCTCCCAGCGATAAGAGGTAGAGTGTTATTGACTGGGATTGTATATATATTTACGGCAAACACCTTACAGATCCACCAGCGTGGTAGCTATAGCTACGCCAGAACTCTATCTTAACTGTCCGATCGCTGATAATGAGCTGGTTGACAATGAATTGGTTGCCCGACCCGATAAGCTCTACTGCCTGAATGCGCACAATAGCAGATTTGACGAAAACATCGTCTCGGATAGGGAGCCGACAACCATCCACAATCTAGAGCGTTGCAACTGGAAGCAAATACATGTCGACTATCAGCTAAGGGCGCCTTTGAGAGCCGAAATACCCGTTGGCAATACGAATGCCTATGCTCCCATTCTGTATGGCACCATTATACTCACCTGGACGATGGCTATTTGGACAATGCTGCGCACGCTATCCTCATCGCGTCGCATTAATCAGCGACTCAACGAACAGCGGCAACTGCAACGAAAGGTCAAGTAACATGCAACGAAATCGGTACGTTTCCATTCCAATATCGAGACGATTTTCCACGATGCTGAAAACAGTGGATACTGTTAGTCAAAATTGATTTAGGTTCCTTTAACTCTCGTCAGACGAACAAAGAATTTAGGATGTAGTATTGTAAATATTTATTAAAACGCCTCGGAGCAAGCAGAGGCCGACGATGATAGGACAATTCAAACAAACATTTTAACATATTCGCTGAAATAATACATATGAAGAGTAAAACACATCGTAAACTTTATCACAAATTGGATGCACATTAAGCTTAGCGTTAACATAAACTAATTTATTTAATTATACCTAAGCATATACATATAAAATATATATGTTTGTTCATTTGTGACACTCGTGTGCCGAATTATATATACAGAAGAGGTATATTAGGGTAAAAGCTCATAGAGCCATAATAGTATTAACGAGATTGTGGTCAGGGTCGAGGTACAGCAGATTAAAAGCGATTGTCCTTGACTGTCGTGGGCGAAATGGTCTGGGAATCGTTCTCAAAGTTGTTTCGCAGAGCTATCGTGCTGGACATGCTCGTTGGCTCGTTCCAGGACTGCACAGTGGCTTTGCCGAATATCACAAACAAGGTGTTGCACACCAAGTAAATTGCTCCGGTTATGAAGAAGACCAAACGCCATTGGTTCGGATCCTCCTCTTCGGTTAGAATGGCCCCCACCACCAATGGTGCCACAATGGATGTCACACCGGCAATTCCATTGGTGACGCCCATCATGGGACCAGCAAAGTTGGGCGACAAATCAATGTGATTAATAAGGTACCCGCAAGAGCAGCCCGCATTGATGCCCACTGCTAGTGTCAGCAATAGAATGGCCCAGGTCTTTTGGTCGGCGGTCATGTAGCCCAGTCCAATCAGGCAGGCCATCGGTCCCCACTGTCCTATCGAGTTGAAGAGCTTTCGAGCAGTTGTGATCGATATGAAGCCTCGGTTGGTGAGCACATCCGATATGGGACTGACCACCAGGCACAGCACGCCCATGGCTAGGTACGGCAGGGAGGAGAGGAATGCGTTCGACTTGACATCCAACTGCAGAACCTTGTTCATGTACGTGGGCATCTGGGTCAGCAGCGTGTAGAATCCCCAGGTGAAGCCGCAATGAGCGGCCAAAAGACCGTAAAAGGCTGGCGATTTGAAGATCGACATCCAGGGCACTGGCATGGACTGGAGCGAAATCGGATTATGATTACTCTGGAATAAAATCAGTTGGTGTGCTGTACATACCTGACTGCTGCTATTGCTGCCTGTGAGGCTTTCGATGTACTCCTGTTCCGTCTTCGTGATGCTGCGAGCTGTCGCAGGTTCGTTGGCAGCCTGCCAGAAGAAGAGCAGCGCCCAGGCCAAGCTTAGGCCACCGGACAAGTGGAACAGTCCGGGCCAGCCCAAGCTCGACTCGAAAATAAATCCACTCGTGACCAGAATAAGAGCCGTCCCGAACTGGGCGCCCGAATAGATGCCGGTGGTGAGAAAGCCTCTTTCGGTGCGCGGCACCCACTTGGCCAACAAGGTGTGCACACAGGGATAGACAGTGCCTTGAACCAGACCGGTGAGGATCCGCAATACACAGACACTCTCCCAGCCACTGGCCGCCGCCATGGGATGGAAGAACGACAAGATTCCGCCGACTGCTGTTGCTGTGCCCAAAACAATCTTGGCCCCGAAGCGTTTTGCCAGCAAACCTGCGGGCACCTGCGAGACGACATAGCCCCAGAAGAAGCTGCTCAGGATCAGGGATTTTTCCGACACGTTCCAGCTGTAGGAGGGTGCCCCGGCTGTGGACTGAGTCATCGGTACGATGGCGGCCGAGATGTCGACGCGCTGAAAGTAGTTGATCATCATACCGATAAACAGAAGGATCGCCTGCCAGTGGCGGACTCCAAATCCACTTGCTATTGGAAGAAAAAAGTTGGGAATTTATACAAATCTTGAAAATTATTCCTACACTTGAGTTATAATGATTATTTTACAGGCTAATGTCTTGATGTGATTGGGAACGACACGGAGCAGCAGCGGCGTCCTCTCCCCGTTCACTAAGTAGACCATGTTGGAGTGGATCGTCGTCTGGCAAAGTAATCTGCCGATTGCCCCATTATATAAATGAACTGTGGGATTTGTTTGTCGATTGCCTGATTATTTCTAGGACCTTTTTTTATTCAATTTACGTTTTATGGCCGTTTAACAATGTTCTGATAGTGCGTGCTGATGCTATTAATTAGTGAGTCCGACTGAACGCTTTGTCGTTTATTATGTTATAATAATATTTTCATTATCATTACCGCATGCAAATGAGGAAAAACAAAACAAAACTCGCGGCGGTCTCAATGGAAAAGTTGCCGCCGCCGACCCAGCGGCGAACCCAGCGGGTAGTCAAGGGAGGTAATGGCCGCGGAAAGTGTGAATCAAGTCATAATTCTTAATTGCTCTTAATAGATCTCGAGATTTATGTTTATTCCCCAAAAAAAATGTTTACCGTGAGCAGATGGAAGATGGGTAGTGACCTTAGGAAGAACGCAAATATTTTCATTGTCCCAAACGATCTTAATCTTCTGTTGATTTGTGTACATACTCGTATAAGATACGGCATGATATGATTTGCAAATACAACCAGACACACAGGAATGCAACGATGATAGGATTATAGGGTAGGTCTGGAAAGCAGCCATGTCGTGTTCGTACTACGAACAGAGAGCACAAACACCATGTATTATGGTATAAGAGCGAGCCGCTTCAATTCAGGCGAGTTCTCAACCCGCAAAGTAGTATCAATAACCTATTAATAGATGACTGAGAAGAACTATTCCTTGTTCGATTGGACACGAATACCATGCAACACTTCAGATGAGGTCTTTAATCAATTTGCTTTGCTTTGATTTACTCACGCCTTGCCATATCCAAAGAGGTATCGAAACCCATTTTTATCTCGTATTTGTTTGCCGTATATTAACACTGAAGGGATAACACTTTGATTTAAAGTTGTTATTGTTTGGCCTTCTTGGGCGCAATTCCGGTAGACGACGCGACGCGACAACGACTGTTTCTGGGTTTAAGTGCACCTTTCGCTTTTATACTGATACCACAAAGAACAAAACCCATTTTTTCCAGATTACAGCTGGGTGAGTTTTGAAGTGCCTGCGACTGACTCCACGCCGATCGTTCGCCATTATCTGGACCATAATCATAAAATAGCAATAAATCTCGGAGAGAACGAACTCTCGGCTTTTCTCCATGCCCAATGCAAATCACTTATTGTATCAACTATGATGCACATTAGGTTTTGACACACTTTTACAAAGAAATTGTTATTCTTTCGATCAATCTGTGTGCGCACGACTCCTTATCGCAGTCTGTTCCTACTGATTCGTTCACTCGTCTCTTCCAGAATGTTATCTAAGACGTTGTATGTATTATCTCATACACATACAGTGTTGCTGGGCTGCATTAAAAGCCCTTTTAATTTCGCTGCTCTGGGTTAAGTCTAATCTCTTGTTTAGTGCACTATTCAAAGAATTTCATCGGTTGTTTATCCAAGGAGCTAATTGTTATATGGCATCCAACGACACGATTCGCCGGCACTAGGAATTCCGCGAATTGAGCTATAGGACATGTGTATTAGGTGGGCATAATCATTTTTTTAACGGTGGCTAACGTTTATTTGCGGTTAGCCGATTTGAAAATGTCTGAAATTATACGTCTGTTATATGCCTGTATGGATGATGGAGGTTGCTCTGGCGGGAAAGTTGGATTACGGAAATAATTACGTGTGTATTTCCATTCTCCCCAGTTGGCTGAAGAGTCTACCAGCAATGTGAAGACAGACCGCTAGCTGCATCCGCTGCACATCTCTGCCTACTGGCTGCAGAGTTATGGAGATTTATGCAGAGTATGGAATACTTTCAGGCTGAAGTAATACACTATTTTTATCGTACTCATCCATACAGGCATATGAATGCCGCGATTCAATTTCTGCACCGAATGGCGCTACAATTGCAGCTGGGAAAGATGTACCTGGACCTTCAAATTTGTAATTGATATGCGCGGCATTGAATCTGGGTGGGACAGAAAAGAAGAAAGCACTGAGAGAAACGAATACGGTCAAAGAAAACGTGTTGACCACACTACTAACCAAATAGTATAGTAGACTCTCAACTTCCTATAAACGAAACGTCACCGCTCAATGTGCGTCTCGGAGTCCCAGGCCTCTGCCAAAGTCCCAGCTACAAGTATTAGTGCGTGTAGAAAACGCAGCTAAAACTCCCAGCTACATGTGTATTAGAGCGTGTAGAACACGCTGTTAGAAGTCCCAGCTACATGTTTTTTAGTGCGTGTAGAGCACGAAGCTAGAATACTATATATACTACTATATACTATATACTACTGTTTATAGTAACAACTATATACTATACTATTTGGTTAGTGACACACACTGGTGTGGTTTTTTTCTGGTATTTTCCAATATTTAGAAATACTCGTTCTGTCACTGACCAAAGCACCAAAGTATGTAGCAAATATGTAGTTATAGTGTAAAAACATACAGCTGATAATGACCTGTTTTATATCCATATTTTCTAAGCAATCTAATTAAAAAGATGGCTTTAAACGAGCATATTCTTGTAAAAAATTAATTGGTTTATTAGTTTAAATTATATATACAGTGCTGAGGGTGTTAGCCATATAGTAATATTAAGCAGAATCTCAAAATCGAGAATATTATTGACATCATTGACATCATAATCATTGACAGAGCACAAACGTACAGTTGTTTTGCCTTGTTTTGGGTTGCCACTTAATTCAATTCTGTGTTTACTGCGGCTAAGCTAAAAATTTATAAATTTTAATTAACGCAGTTAAAAATGTCTGCACAGTCATCATTTCAGGATGGGGACGAAAATAAAGTTCCACGCATCATGACCTTTCGTCCCAGCTATGACGAGTTCAAAAATTTTTCGGCGTACATCGAATATATGGAGAGTCGCGGTGCCCACAAAGCGGGTTTGGTTAAAATTCAGGTAAATGAAAAAAAATGGATGTGGATATGTTTGCTGACAACGTGCTCCTTAACTAATGCAGCCGCCTCCAGAATGGGTCCCCAGGCAGTCCGGGTACGACATAGAGAACATCAACATGACGATTCCTCCACCTATTTCTCAGTTGGTTCAGGGGTAAGGAATTGAGTGATAAGCAGTAGTTGGACCCTGTACAGTTAAAACTTGTCCGGATTTGGATTTAGGGCACAGGGAGTGTACCAGCAATTCAACGTGCAGCAGCGCAAGCAGATGACACTGCGCCAGTTCATGGAGAAGGCTAACTCAGAGCTACACAGCACACCGCGGCACACTGACTACGAAGATCTAGAGCGGAAATATTGGAAGAATATTACATATGTATCCCCGCTGTATGCAGCGGATGTCCAGGGAACGCTTAGCGACGATGATCTAGATGTGTGGAACATTGGGAGGCTAGACACCGTACTGAACCTGGTTAACACCGACTATAATATAACCATAGACGGGGTGAATACAGCGTACCTCTACTTTGGCATGTGGAAGAGCTCCTTTGCATGGCACACAGAAGACATGGATCTGTACTCGATAAATTATCTTCATTTCGGTGCTCCCAAAACATGGTACGCTATTCCACCGGCTTACGGAAGGCGCCTGGAGAAGCTGGCTAATGAGCTATTTCCGGAAACACATCAGGAATGCAATGCATACCTCCGCCACAAGATGACCATGATAAGTCCCAAAGTGTTGCGGCAGCATAATATACCATACAACAAGGTTACCCAGGAGGCGGGTGAAATTATGATTACCTTTCCGTTCGGCTATCATTCTGGCTTCAACCACGGCTTCAATGGTGCAGAGTCGACCAACTTTGCGTCCAAGCGCTGGATAGAGTATGGAAAGCGGGCAAGCATATGCAGGTGCCGCAGCGATATGGTTAAAATATCAATGGAGACTTTTGTGCGCCACTTTCAGCCGGACCGCTATGACAACTGGTTGAAAGGAAAAGATTTTGGCTATCATCCGGAGGAGCCAGGCAAGTTATGTCCTGCTAATCCACCAACAATCAATGTGTACGACAAGAAAGAAAGGTAACTAAATTGAATGCTCTTCCTACTGCTATAATAGCTATAATAATTATATTCACTGTTTAAGTCTGGCATTGGCCAAGGCCAAAGCATCCTCGCCACAGAAGCGAGGCTGCTCGATGCCCACAAACTCGGAAGCAAATGGTGCAGATGATGGCGACGAGAAGGCTAGCGTAAGCAGTACCAGCGGCATACGTCTCAAGCAGGCGGTCGTCAAGCTTCGTAAGCTGCCACGCGAACTTGTACCTGACCCTCCCGCCGCGCCCGAGAGGTATGACTTTAACTCGATTGTCGAGAAGAGCGTTAAGCGCTTATGGAATGATCTGCCTAATCCAAATCCAGGAATCAATTTGCTCAGCAACGGTGTGGTGAAGAACACAAAAAGGATGCGCTTTCACACAAAAGTCCTCACACTTGAGGACGAGGACTGAACACTGTCAGTTGCTCCCGCTCGATCTCCTTGTTAATAATTTTGTGTATGATTAAAAAAAACGTATTTTATAAATATGTATTATTAAATGTGTGTTTAGTCAATTGTCGCCATCTTTAATGTAAAGTGTATATAATATTTATATAAATAGATTATAGTTTAGTCTTCGATCCAAATGGGCTGAGAAAAACGAATTTGTATGTATTTTTTAACCTTTAACGTAACGTCAAACGTGTGTTTAAATTATTGCCATGTCACTCACATATTGTTTGTATCCCACCAAAAGAGATAAATCATATACAAACGTAACGCTCAAAAAAGGATTCAAAGAATTGAATTGCAAATGTATATAAATAATAAAACATGCCTAAGGCAAAGAAGCCGCTTATGGATACCCTTTAAAACATCAAGTAATGTGGATTTTACTGTGCATATTGGTTAAGTTTAGGTTTCAGGCATCCTCAATGTGTGCGAAAATACTTGTGACATGTTTGGCTACGCCCCACGCCCAGTTGTATAACTATTAATTAAAAGTTGCGATGGAGGAAACGCAATATGGCCAACAATTGGCGGGCTATAAAGGGGCTCCTGGTAGCTCTAGCTGATCCAGAAACCGCTTAAAAGTTCGAAAATGTTCTTCAAACTTGTGTACCCGGCTCCGTTGTCGGAGCCAGTAGCGACGAGGGATTCTAATGTTTACTTGCTCAAAACGCTGCATATATCCGGCTTGAATTTTTACAATGATTTTGGAATTGGTCAGAAGATTTGGCGCGTGATCTCCTTCAGCTACAACATTTTTTACCTGCCGCTCAGCTTCCCGGTTAACTACAAGATACACTTTTCCCAGTTTCCGCCCGATCTGCTGCTGCAGTCGCTTCAACTATGCCTGAACACCTGGTGCTTTTCGACCAAGTTCGTCACCCTCGCTATCTTTACGGAGCGCTTGGAAATGGCAAACAAATGCTTCGATGAGTTGGACGTGTACTGTGTCACCCCGGATGAGAAGCGAAGGGTCCGCGCTGCTGTGGCCACCATCAACAAACTGTACCTGATCTTTGGGGTTGTCTACTTTCTGTATGCCACTTCCACTCTGGTGGATGGACTTTTCCATGACCGCGTCCCGTACAACACCTACTATCCGTTCATTGACTGGCGTCTCGACAGACGTCAGTTGTACATACAGAGTTTTGTAGAGTACTTCACCGTGGGCTACGCCATATTTGTGGCCACAGCCACGGACTCGTACCCTGTGGTCTTCATAGCGGCTTTGCGAACTCACATTCTGATGCTGAAGGACCGCATCGTTCGCCTGGGCGAGGCCAGCAACGAGGGAACTGCTGACCCAGACAGCATCTTTAAATCGCTGGTCGAGTGTATCAAGGCTCACAGGACGATGCTGAAGTAAGTGTCCTCTGAGGTTATGAGGGAAGATCGATGTAACATTTTTTCCTAAGCTTCTGCGACACCATTCGACCCATCATCTCGGGCACTATATTTGCCCAGTTTATCATCTGCGGTTCCATTCTGGGCATTGTTATGATAAACATGGTGCTGTTCGCTGATCAATCGACACGTTTTGGCATCGTTACCTATGTGATGGCTGTGCTTCTGCAGACTTTTCCACTCTGTTTTTACTGCAACGCCATCGTGGACGACTGCAATGATCTGGCCGATGCCCTGTTCCATTCGGCCTGGTGGATGCAGGACAAGCGATACCGAAGCACGGCCCTTCAGTTTCTGCAAAAGCTGCAGCAGCCCATAACGTTCACGGCCATGAACATATTCACCATAAATCTGGCCACCAACATTAATGTGAGTCCACGGCGGGGAGGAAACAGAACTCAGCTCTGGCTTTTTTGCAGGTGGCCAAATTTGCCTTCACCGTGTACGCCATAGCGAGCGGAATGAATCTGGATCAGAAGCTGCAGCTGCAGGACTCTGGTGTCGCCTCTCCGTGAACACAGCACAAAGGTAAACACTGATTTTCATCGAAGTATTATAATTAATGAATGAAACTATGAATACATCGAACTAAGAGTAACGTAAACATAAATTAAAACAAAACGATATGTTTATGAAAGGAAAACGCCTCCAGGAAGCCCTTACAAAAGGTGTGTGTGTTGAACCCTAGCCGCAGGTCCAAGTCGAGTCGATGGAGTATTTTTCATCTCGCTAGTAGTTCGGTTATTGAGGCGGCAGTTTATTTGGGTGTTCATTAGGGTGGGAGGGATCGGAGCGGGTACTACAGCAATAATGATATTTGTTTTGTTTGACGTTGATGAAACGGGTACAATTTAAAATTTAAAATAACCTTAGGCAAGATAACTATATGTGTCTTTGTGTCCCTCCATGCGCTCCAGATACTCCTTCTCGATCAGAATGTCGATGCACTTCTTAATGACGGGCACCTTGGGCTTGAAACGCGTAGACAGCTGATTGAGCACCTCCGAGATTAGATTGGTGTGGTTAAGGCGCTTGCGCATCTTCATAATGCGCACAATGGCAGCCTGTATCAACAGCTTACGGTCCTCCTCAATGTGTTTATGTACAGTCTCCTGCTCTACTTTAAGCTCAGTCTTCAGCGGTTGGTTGATGTTAATGCGCCGCTTTTTGTTCTTGTAGTCCAGGAACAGCTCCACTGCTGACTCGGGTGTCAATGAGTTCTCATTGTCGGTGGACGTCAACACCTTTGCCTTGAGCAGTATTTGCAGCACCTGAATGTGGAAGCATAAGATGCTTTAAGTTGATTAAATTCGTCAGAGTTACATAGTTTTCAACCTTTACCTGAATCAAGCTGTCCAACTGTGTCTGGGTGTTTTCCAACAACTGTTGGACTGTGAAGCTCAGCTGGTCGTTGAACTGTAAGAGCACCGACATCTGGAAGGTACTGGCTTGCAGGGTGTACACTGTCGAGGTGTTGTTGCGATTCACGTTCATGATCAGCTCTCCCTTGCACATTTGGTAGAGCCAGTTCAGCTTGCGGCCGGAGTGACGGGCCGCATAGAATTCGTTGAACTGACGCACGGAGCGCTCCAGCTCTGACGGCAGCAGGAAGTTGTTGTTCAGCTGGAAGGGCCACGAGCCGGAGGAGAGAACCTCAATGCCGAAATCAATTTCGGACACCACATTATTCGTGAGCAGGTGCTCCTTGAAGTTGGAGTTGAGGTCCTTGGAGACGCCAATGTCTTGGAACATGCGTTGAAGCTTGACCGTGTACTCAAAGCCACAGGTCTGCTTCAGCTTCGAGATCATCATGGCCTCGGCATCGTCGGATGCTGACGTGTGGTTTACCAACCGCTTTGCGAGCATTTTAGAATAGTATTTCTGGAAGACGTCCTTATCCTCTATGTACTTAAATACGACCATAACCTGGTTCAGGTTGTCTTCGAGCTCTTTATCCTCGGGATTCTTGGATGACTTCTTTAGCAAAAGATCGCAGTACTTGGCAAGCAGCTCGGGCGATTTGCTGGCGCTGTTCGCGGCCGTCACCACGTTCGAATTAATGAACTTGCCGCATGCCTTGTCCAATGCGGCCACAAATCCGTTGTCATTGTTAAATGCCGTCAGCACGAGGGCATTATATTTTTTATGGACATCTAGTATGGTCTGGACATATGTCTTGGGATCGTTTGCCGCATCGGTGGTGCAGCACTTGACAATGGCTTCGGTGCCCTGATGCAGTATGTGCAGCTCGAGGATGATCTTCAGATCCGTCAGGTTTTTCGGCGAAAGAGCCACCAAAGAGTACATGCGCTTAAGGTCTTCATTTCTATCTGCATTCAACAGATTTTGGAACTCGGTGTGGAATATTTTGAGATGCTTCTCAATGAGAACCTGTGCGAATAGTGACACAAGAGGGCAGTGGAATGTTATTTAGTAAATTCAATGCAAGGGAAAAGGCTGACGACACTCTTACCTGCTCGCATGTTGACTTAAGAGTCTCTGCTGTGGTGTCGTGCAGGTACGAAAGGCCGTTCTTCGAGTTCAGGCCACGGACGCGCTGTTTCTCCTCCTCCAGGCGATTCTCAACGTGCTTGAGATATTCAGTCACCGTGTTGGTTGATAGGAACGCATCCGACTCTTTCTCGTAGAAAGTGGCTGTGTCGGCTATGAATTTGCTCTCAAAGTTTTCCTTGTACACGGAAAGCTTCTGTTGATCCGAGTCGGAGTCGTCCTCATTAAAGCTTAATTCCACATAAGACTGGATCACATCGCGCACCAGCGAACGGTTGATCAGCTTGCCCTGGCGCTCCTCTTCAATGGACTTGAGGACGGCCTTGGTGACGGGCTCGTTCAGCACCTGGAACAGGTGACCTTTCCAGGCGACCAGAGCCAGGCGATAAATCTTGTAGATACCCTTCTGGCCCTCTTCGCACTCGCGTTTCACCCAGTTTCGGTTCAAGTAGTTGCAGATGCCATCCAATACAGTACTGGAGAACTGATACGAGATCCACTGCTTCGTGTAGCGCGACAGGAGGACTTCCTCGCCGCTAATTGCCCTGAACTTGGTCAGCAGCTCGCTCAGATAGGTCTTGAGGAACTGCTCCAGCCGATCGTATAGCTTCTTGCCCACCAGCTGCGCTCCGCCAGTCTTGCCATTGCTCCGGCCGATTGGAGCTGCGTTCACACTAGTGCAATAGTCATAGACGTGTGTGTAGAAGCGCATGTACTGGGTGCGGGTAAGCGACTTTTCCTGCTCGAAGACCTGGCGTATGCCTTCCACCAGCTCACTCCATATGTCGTCCAGATTGACTGGCTTCTGTGTTGTCTGTGCGCCTGAGCGATTCATTGCTGTGGCAGGTGGCAAGTGCTCTTTCTGTGGAGACTGCCGCTGTTGCTCTTGCGGCTCTGGAGGATTTTTTCTGGCTGCTGTTGTTGTAGAGGACGCGGACGACGACAACGACAACAGCGGGGGCGAGGGATTGCTATCCTGATGGCGTCGTTTGGCGGCTCTCGTCCTTGGTGTTTTGTTCGGAATTTTGACAAATTGGGGGATTGAAATTTAGAGATTCAAGAAATTTGATCTGTAAGGAAACAAAACGAACATGAACTGTAGTAGACCTCGCTCCACCATGCAAGCCACGTAAATGTATCGAGCCGAAGGTCGACCGTTTTGATCCAATGTCACATTCATAAAGCCACAAAAAAAAGTAGCCAAAAGAGAGACTTGGCGTCTACGTACGCTCAAGTGTATTTTTGCGTGCGTGCGTTTGTGCATGTGTTGCCCCCGCATACATTATGCTCAAGGTGTAATACGATACAAAGAAAAACATTCCCTGAAAAGCATACACGGCCAACCTTGAGTCTCGCTGCGGTAGAGTATACACTATCGTATAAACTAGTGGGCGACGAACATGACTCTACCTATTGCAATCGGGTAGCGTTCACGCGTCTTACAAATCAGTAAACTTCCTGGTTAAAAAACACTCGCACACATGGGTATGTACATGTATAGGCGCAACCAACTCACACACACTCATGGAAATAAAACCAATGCACATAACCAATATTGGCATTTAATGAACAGTGCACCCAACAAAAAAATAGCACTTGAACCACCAACAAGTCTTGTAGAACCCAATCGTAACTGTAAATATGGGCACAAAGACTCGGGCACTGGTAGTTTTTCGTTTTCTTTCTGTGACGTCGTGATTTTCCCCTTGAAGCACACACTTTTTCACTTGTTCGCCATTTTCGCATTTCACAATACGAACTGTAGTGGCGTAGCCTCCAAAAGTATCAATTAGTGAATATATTTACCTGTCGCCAGATATCAAGTAATTCTACGTTAAGCTATATGTTTCTCTACACTTTATGTTTAAATTATTAGTTTTATTTTTTTGTTCAAAACTAACAAAAGCAATTTTTTTATGTTTCCGACCAGTGTGACCGCGGATTTATCGATAGGACATACCGCACGATCATGAAAAATATACCGAAATATACCTTCTCATTTTCAAAATATAGCGTAAATATACCGTATACCCTAAATAGTTTTCCTCGATACTGATGTCCTATTTAATATTACTAGCTAATTAGGATTCTTCGCGCTGAAAATATAATTTTAGCCGATACATCAAAAATTGTTCCACAAGATAGACTCATTTTTATGACCTATTTATATTGAATTGCTTGTAAAATAAGGTTAACAAAAAGGTTAGGAAAGGTTAACCCAGGTTAGGCCAGTATGGCCCTAGCCATACGCGTTCTTAGGCGGGTTTAAAGTCCTCGAGAATCTAGGGTGGCGTTTTTCGGGGCGCAGATATACCCCACCAATACCCCACGTCATCTTCCCGAATCTCGAGTATAGGAGGTCCTCCGCCTCCTTGTCGATATGGAGGATCGCACATTGGCCCCATCCTTCGGCAGTGGACTCCCAATGTGCAAACGTTGGGCTAATATATTTCCGGAATATTTTTCACCACCTAGCGTTTTATGCCCTACCAGTCAGGGCAATTCAACAGATTTGAGATCGGGAAGAAGATGGACATTCGTGCATTCATGCATTCGTTAGTCACTGCATTACTTCGGTCAAAACAAGTGGCAATGTAGGCACCCTCAGGGAGGGTTCAGCCAAAGGACTTGTGCCACCCCAACACTAAAAAAAAAAGAAAAAGAACGTTGTGAGACGCTTTGCACGCGTCACAACTTTTTCACCCGGTACTTTACCCGGTGAAAAGTTAATTAATGCAGCTAAAAAGTAGACCCCAACATTTTTTGGGTTTGGCTTTCCGTCTGGAAATATTAAGCTTTGAAATGCAAAAATGTTAATTATTGTGACGTATTTTTAACTGAATGTCGACTTTAAAAACTTGGGAAAAGTCGAAAAAACCCAGCTCAGCCGTCTCTCCATAGATGTTGATGATCAATACCTTACGACGCCCAATTAATTCTCTACATAAAAAAATAAAGGACACAATATTTCCGGTTCGGTTTGGTTCCTTGAGGAAAAATCGTGTCGTGTAGTGGTATCAAATGACTTTCTTACTCCTCACACATACATATATTTGTTACTTGAACGAAACCCTGACTGTATCTTCGAACCACCTTCTCCAACTTACACACGTTGCAATTTCTTTTGAGATTCGCCGTTTGTATCGATAACGTGAACGCATATATCGTGTGGTTTAAGGCGATGTGATTTGATCTGGCAGCACTAACAGGTTACAGCAAATCAAAACATCAGAAATTTTACAACGTCATAGTTGTTTATATTTATTTTGTATAGAATAACAGTAAGAAAAAATAAGAAATGTACTTCCGTGGATCTTCCTTCGCTGCCACAGCCATTTGGTTGTTTGTTCTGGTGTTGGAGCAACAGCACAGTGACGTAGCCGTGTCTGCAGCATCCACGAATGGCACAAAGGCCATCAATAGCTCGGTGCCCAGTGTACCGGCAGCAATTCCAGAAGCTCTAAAGCCGGATGATCGTAAAACCGTTAAGAAAGCCCTGTCCATAGAGGCGGTGCCCAATCAGAAGGTTGCCGATGTCGTCATTGCTGAAAAACCTGAGCTAACGTTGAAGGAACAATCCAAGGAGTCCCCACAGGCCGCTGCCCCAGAATCGCCATCCTCCGGTCTGCCTGTGGAGGATGTGCGCATCGAGCACTCCAGCATGGGCAATGATGTGGACTTTCCGGGACAAGCCGTTGTCTACGTTCTGGTGGCAATAACTAGTTCCGCCATTTTGCTGCTTGTCTTGCGTGTCTATCGGTGAGGCGAGAGAAGAGCGCTTATCAGCGCACATGATATGTAGTAGTAAACTGAACTAAAATCTTCCCTATACAGCATGCGATTAACACGGGCAGAGCGCAAATATGGAGTGCAAGGCGACAGGGCCAATCAGGAGCTAACACCGCTGCCCATGGCCATCGAAGACGTCAACAGCGACGAGGAGGACCACACCGTGTTTGAGGTCAATCGCCAGAATATACGCATATTATGAAACAGCTAACACAATTGCACGCCAAAGAGATATTTGGTCGCCACACCATTCTCAACACTTCTCAGCAACTTGCCTTCTCAGCTGGTCTCCGTAACTATATAATCCTTGTAGAATTACGTATTAGCCGGTAGCAAACTTTGCAAATTGCCTGATTTCCTACTTGGTAACTGAGTTCTGTGTAACTTTCTCCCACAGTTGGTTCCCGTTTAACGAATCAAAAGAAAACAAAACCACTTGTGATAACTTTAACGATATATGAATATGTCTGTAAGAATATATTGTAGAAGACGCTAAAGCGCTGAAGGCATGCCAATTTCGGTCAGCGGATGCTTTCACAATAAATGTTATATTAAATGTACTGCACACATATGTAAATCGGTTGTGGTATTCGGTTTATTCTCGACACTCTCATAAGACTCGTAGACGCAAAATTAGACTTAAGACTTTTACGAATTCTATTAGCTTAATGGTAAATGTGAAAAACGCTGATTGTTGGATCGTACATACAAACATACACGCACGCAGTTGACAGACAGCTTTGTTTACTTACAGAAAGAAATGCACTCGCGGCTTAAACAACTAAGATCACATAAATAATTTATTAACAATACTGCGGCTGTCCTGCCAGAACAGGAAGAAAGCTTATTACTAACATTAAATTTGAGTTTCGCTAACATTTGTTACATTTGTTTTTTGTTGGCACTGTAATTAGTTCGTTTACAATATACTATATGTACACATCATCAGATCATGCTGCCGAACATGCGTTTGCCGCGGGTCAACACCAAGCTGACGACCATGACGGTCAGCAGAAAAAAGACCAGACTTAGAAATGTGGTGATGAAGCGACATCTTTGGCGGAATTTCTTCTCCTTTTCCATTTTCAATCGCAGTTGCTCAGCGCGCGGCAGATCGAGCGTAAAGTCCGACTCGGGTCGTGAGGATGGCTGGATGTAATTACAAAAGGAATATTCGTTTGATAAAGATTTGGCAGAGTTATACATAATTAGGTACATCTGAACATGGCACCCTCTGCCTCTTGACATTCCCGTTGCCTTTTCCGCATTCCTCTCAGCCTCCACATCGGTTTTCTCATTAAATTATATAAAAAGTTAGCTTGGCTTGCAATTAAGTTCATTAATTTTCGAAGTTATGAACGTTTCGGGTTTCGGTAGATATTTATGTAAATCGTTGGCCATTACCGGGCCCCCTGAATGATTGTTTTGACATTGATCATGATCATATTCGGCGACTGCATTGGATGCGATCCAATGTGGTGTGCGTATGTAAATGGAGATGGGTGCTCATTTGATTTATTTGTGTGATTTTTCAGGTCATTGGCTAAGTGCGGCCGCAAAGCGGTTAGCCATAAATCATGGCATAAGCATCTTCGCGTTCGCAAATATTTGCAGTCGAACAAGGCGTGGTCTCCCCAAACACGCAAGCAATACACGCTCAGATTCGTACAACAAAAAGGGCACCAACGCACAAAAATCTGACCCACTGAGGTTTTTGGTTTCTTCGCATCGCCGTTTGCTCGCTCCCTCCTTTGTATTTCCGACGTCTTGCATCTCACTTTTAGCGACACAACCTTGAAATCTTTTCAGTAACAGCGAAAAAAAGAGCAAAGCACAGATGAAACACAGCGTTAACCGTGTTTGTTGGTGTCGTCGTTTTTGTTTCTTTTTGCTGATTCTCGCTAAAAACGTTAAAAGTTACGAACAACTTTTGGAAATTTCACTTAGCCAGGTGTAATCATCATTGTGAGGGGCAATGAGAATCCGGTATCCTTGGCAACGGCACATGGATCAACGGGGGTGCCGACTTGTCATAAACGCAAAACTCTTTCACTGTGAAGAGTCACTTATGGGGAGGGGGCACATACTTCCGGAGGGAGTTTTTACTGTAAAAGTTACATCAGAAGTTTTCGAAGGGCAGGAAGGCCTGCATTTACATACGAAATACATTCGTACATACAAATGTACATATGTATATATGATTGAACATTTTTACTTTGGTTTTGAGCCGCATATCGAATTTCGAAGATATTGCGCCTCTAAGTGAAAGCTGCGCATACGCAATGCGGTCATTAAAAGGGCATTCAAGTGTAATTTTGTGTGTGTTTAAAGTGCTTTCGACACTAACACCATTCACACTCAGGGCTTTTCTGTCTGCCTGTCTGACTGTGAGTGTAATTGAGCCGTAGTTTGCCTGCCAAATCTGTGCAAACTTTTTTTTTTGTATTTCTTTGCATTTGATTGTGTTGTGACTGGTTTTTTTTTGTGCTTCACTGCGCGACTGCATTGTTTTCGGTTTTTGGTGATCATTTCTTTTTCGAGCTACACACATACAAAACACAGTCGGCAGGCGGTTGAAAAGGAGAAATTGAAATGAAACAACTTTGCGGTAAATTTGGTTGCCTTCCGGCTTCTTTGCTCTCCCTTTTGATGCTTGTCTCAGGTTAGTGATGATGCTCAAAGTCGTTTTGTTGCCGATACATACACACAAACACACCCACGCACACATATACCTATGTATAGGTATTATTACCTCTGCTGTTTATCGGGCAAAGTACTTTAAAAGGCACAGACGTAATCGGTAAACAAGAGGGGAAGACTAGTCGCAAAGACCTAAGCATTTAATACCCTCACCAAGCCACCGTTCACATTGCAGCTGAAGCTTTGTTCATCGAATATATTAATAGACAGATGGATAAATGGATAGACAGATGGACTGACGGCATTATCTCCACAATATTTCGTTCCCTGCCAGCAAATTGATGCACAAAATCATAATATCCTCTGAAAGTGTACCCATAATAGGCGCTGATGCAGTGGCGGTGGATGTTACCGCATTCCAACATTTGCATCTCCCTCTCTCTCTCTCTCTCTCTCTCATACTCTGTTGGCCTGTGTGCGTGTTCGTGTGTAACGGCTTTATGAAGTGCAATTGTTACGAAGTAGAAAGAGTGATGAAAAAGGGGAAGGAGCCGGGGAGACGGCTGCTGTGGATGAATGAATGAATGAATATTAAATAAATTGATTGATTTTTACACCCGCTCCAGACCAAAACACAGATGAAGCTAATTTGCAAATGATGCCAGACGCACACGCACACACACACACAAACACACGCAATAAATAATAAAATTAAAAAAAAAATGCCAGACTCAAAATTCGCCTAACATATGCAAAACGATGAGAAATCTTGCTTTGTGATTGCTGGCTGACTGGCTACTGGGTGTAAATTCCCGCTCTGCCCTGCTCGGCCTTGAAGTATGGGGCCAAGATTTTGGGTGTGCGCTAATTCCGAAAAGAAAATTCATCGCTTAATGTGCCGCACACGTTTTTCCACTGACATTGAAAACGCCCCACCTGCCCCGACCCTCTTCCTCACTTCGTCCAGTTGCTCTGGCAGTGGCTCTGTCTGTGGTTGGAAGTTGGCCAAGTTTGATGTTGTACTACCAACACGACGCTATAGAGATGCAGCACATCAGGTTTGACAAATTACTCCGAGTGAAAACTACATTTTAACACGTCCGCAAACAGATCGCCGCTGCACTCTGCCTTTCAATGAGGGCGAATGTGGGGGAATCCATATTTATGCTCACGTCTCGGCCATGGAGATCGCTGATGCCGATGCTATAATGCTAATCTACTCTAAGAGACATTTCAAAAGGTATTTCCGTCACTTCATCAAGTATTCTCCAAGAATAATTGTGAAATATTGCACTGAAAATATCACTCAAAAGACGTATGAAGATTTTTGTAGTGGTGCTGCTGTTTGTTAAACATTTTTGTCTATTCATCTTATCAATACTCATTGTATATTTATTTCTGCTCACCATTTTGCAGGCAATGTCTCATTAATCCACGCTTTCCGCTGCCAGCAGCGAACCGAACTAAACTGATCTGATCGAATCGAAGATCCATCCCCAGGTGAATGTCTCCAATGGGGGAATTTCTGTACGGGTTTTGTTTTGTTTCCCCCACTTAGCGGATCTACGCTAACTCGGCCTAAGTGTGGCAATACGTCCACGAGACGGGATTTAATTCAATTTGTTTTCATGCAGAGCATGAGCGGAACATTTATGCAATTGCAAATGAATTTTCTTCTGCCATTCTGCTTTGGAGTGCACAGGAAAAGCACGTTGCAGCTGAAGTGACTGCTGGATGGATAGAGCTGTCCGCCTGTTGAGTCACCCCACAGGAGAAGGCGGTGGTGGCTGCAACTATTGTTGGGGCGTGGCAGAATTGCAAAATTCCCGTGGCTACCTAATTATCTCAGACATTCGCGGCAGACATTCCGACTAATGTCTACCTTTTCTCGATGGTTGCACACGGCGTATGAGTGAGTAATGGGAGGAAATTTGATCACATAATTGGGGCTGCCGCGGCCACGGCAATATAGCTACAGCTTCCGTGGAAGTAATGCCCATGATAGCCCACTTACGTTTATATAAGCCTCGGCCCCCCGTGGCTGCCAATGAAAAAGTCAGCTCGAATTTCTGGCCAAAAGGCTGCCAGCGGACAAATGCAAATGGCAATCGGAGCAAGGCGCCGCACCCGGCCAAAGACGGTTGACAAAATCCATGACCAAACGTTTTGGCCTGCTCTTGAGACCAGCGCCAGGCTGCGTTCGGGGTGGCGGGGCTGGCAACAAATGGAAATTGCCATAACCCAGTTCGGAGCAGGCTGCTAGCTGTCCACCGGCCAGGGGCTGTGCAGCAAATGCGACGCCGATGGCGATTGCAACACTTTGTGGCAGGCACTTCTATGCTAGACGCATGGCAGCGTGCAGCGTCCACATTGGGACGCAGTCGCCTTACATTTCGCTCCGGTTCGTTTTCGGTTTTTTTGGTTTTGCTTTGCAGTTTCATTTTCGTTTTCATTTTCATTTTCATTTTGGCATTCATGGCTGTAAACTTGTTTTCGTTTTCGCTGCCGGCCATTTGCCGTGGGACGAGTTTGTAGCTGCCACAGCAAGGAGTGAGGGAGGGAGGAACGGAGGGAGTTATGGTAGGGAGTGTTCGGAGGGGCAGCTTCTGTTTGCGAGAAGCTCGTTTCGGCATCTTCCCTCCCTGCGCCATTAAGTCGAGCAAACGTCCTTAAAGGTCACCAGAGTTGTAGGGCAACTGTGCAACTGGCACCGGTTTCAAGTTTGGGCCTGGCTACGATGAGGCTGCGATGCTTGGCTGTTGCCTCTTTCCACTTGCCACTTGTTGCATGCCTTTTTCTGGTTATCGCGGACACAATCGATGGCCAATTAAGTGACCAGTCAGTTGGCAAGATGCGGCGCGCTTAACGGAATTTAAAGGTTAACTGGTATCCACAGTGGTCGGTCGATCGAGTCACTGTTTAACTGTTTGATTCGCATTATGGCACAATAATACGAGTAATGTGCCCCCAAGTTCAAATCGGCCGTGTGCTGCCGTCAGCGTCCAGCAGTCACATTATAGATCGCATCGATCAGTGAATGCAAATACGCTGTTAAGGTGAATAAACCCTAGTCGTGTGACGATTCGTAGCCCGCAGCCAAGCCATTGAAAGTGAAAACTCATTTGGATTCGCGTCTCGCGTTTCGAGTACGTTTGAATGGCGCACCAAAGCTGGGCCTACCCAGAGATTCCATTCGATTCACGGCTACGGATATTGCATCATTGAATTGCCCATAGAACGGAAACCAAAATTGGTAGCGGTATCTGTTTGGGGCTGTTTGTGATTGACTCGAATGATATCGCAATAAAGGAAATTTAGTTTTGGAAGTTAAAATTTTGTACAGGGTAAATAATACATTTGCAATTAAATAAAGTTTGCTTTGCTTTCAATTTTGAGTCAGTTGCGACTGAGCATCATCGAGATTTATGACTTAATCTGGCATTAACTGAAGAGCCATAGAATCAGAAGCAAGGCAACAGCTTAGAGCTTCGAGTGGTGCATCCAACATTAGATGTAATTATGGAGCTTTCAGAACAGCCAAAACAGAACAGAACAGAACAGCCCCCGCTCCACTCGCTCTGTGGAACAGTAGCCTCCGTGGCACGCAACACAATTAATCATATTGCCATGTGGAAGGGGACACCCGACTATGGTGATCTTATCGCGCATGTCGCCTGCCGCATAATATAATAGCCCCCAGGCGAGTGCCGGTGATGAGTATGCGAGTAGCGTCAATGCTACGACATCCGCCGGGGGCCGACGCTGATGTTCTTGCTGACGCCGCCAGTGCGGGGGTGTTGAGCGCTGGAGACGCTCACGAAGCACTACCAAAATGGCTCGGATCGCGGCCAAGGATGAGGTTGAACAACTGTTTGCACGAACTGCGGACTGTGGACTGCGGGCTGCGGCAGCCAGTGCTCCCAGCTGAATTGCACTTGAAATTGGAATCGGTATCGAAATGGCTTAATGAGCAGCGCATCTTGGCAGCGCTCATGCAAATTGCTGTTCGATCGGCTACGAATTATTATTGTGATTATTGTGATAGTTTGCCCAATTTTCATGGGGCTGGCCGACCTCGAGCTGCAGCTCCGCTTGGCCGCAATTAGTCTGGGCATTAATCATACGCCTTGTTGCCCGACCACCTCATAATTAGCTCTGCAAGCCAGCGGGGGGCGTCGGTTGGCTGATCTACATTTGCCCATTATTTCGAAACGCAATTGACCCAAGTCGAATCTACTGATATACGGAGTCTGAACGATGAAGAAAGGGAAGTTAAAGCCAAGTGAAAGCGATACAAAAAAAGGATTGAAAATCGTTCCAAGTACATCTTCCATCTCCTTATGAATAACTCGGTGAACGGCAGTTGGAATCAATTGCATTCAATTGAAATCAAAATCAAATTAAAATCCCATTAATTATTTCACACGATTCGGAGTGGCGTGAGTTCTGAGATCGCACGAATCTGCCTGCTATAATGATCAAATGAATATTGATTGGGGCACGTGCAGATGATTCTGTTCGGATCTTTACTTAATTGCAGCAACCTTCAGTGCATTTGTGTTTATTTTACTCCCCTCCAATATACTCACGTAGGACAGCGTGGGCTGGGGACTGCTGATGACTAGTTCGCCTCCGTTCCGCTGTTTGCCGAGCAGGGACTGATGCAGGCGATTGGTGCCATAGTACATCTCCCAGATGCTTGGCTTCTTTCGATGCCACTCGGCGAAAGTGTCTCGCTCGCCCTTGCCGGCCCCAGAGCCACCGCCCAGAGCGTCCTCCTGGCTGGCAGATCCGCTCGAGCCGGCTCCGGAGAGTATGGGCTTGTGGAAGGTGAGATTGCGTTGCATTTGGGTCACCACCATGGTGCCGGGCAGCGACGGGGGATGCAGCGCCTCCAGCTCCAGCTGTGGTGTCGAGGCGGGCGTGGGCGTGGCACTGCGAGAGAGAGTTGTGGTCTCGATGTAGCACTCGGCTGTGGGGAAGATCTCCGTGATGGACTTTCGCTTCATTTTGAAGTTGGGATCGCTGGCACAGCGGATGGTCATGGTCTGCTCGCGGACGCTGAGCGGCCGGCCGCTGGTCGAGATCAGGACACCGTCGTGGACTGCCTCGTAGGCGTTCAGGTGCAGCAGATCGGCACAGCTGCGCCTTCGCTCCAGGGCGTTTTGCAGGCGGACGACGTGCTGCTGCCGGCCCAGGCCGCTGCACAGTTGGCGCAGATCCTGTTCGCTGTGTTGGTTCATGCGCTGCAGGTAGGACTCCAGCTCCTGCTTGAGCGTGTGAATCATGCCCTCCAGCTCCTTGGGTATGTCTGGCGGGGGTGTGCGCGCGGGTGCAGGCGTGGCCGAGGGCGAGGGCGTGGCACGGGATAGGAGGCGTATCTTGTCTCGCACATCTTCGAGGAGTTCGCGAGTGCTCTGGAAGTGTACCTGGTCCTCGTAGCGCTTCACAAATCTCTCCTCGATGGCGCGAGGGGCGTGGCCAGCCGCTGCCTCGCTCTCCACGCGGTAGGCATCCTCCGGGCAGGAGTTGATGTATTTGGCACACTTGTAGTTGTTCTCCTCCAGCTGCTCGTCGCTGAGGAAGCTCGGATTGTCGATTCCCACCCTTCCCGACTTGGTCTTGGGATGCGCCTGGGACTGGGACTGCGATTGGGGCTTCGGATCGAGCAGAAAGGCGTCCAGATCGATGTCCAGCAGAGAATCGTCCACCAGCTGCTGCTGCTGCTGCTGCTCCATGATGGTCGGCAGTTGGTTGTAGACCCTCAGCTTTTCGCTTATGTCCATTTGGAGCTGGGGCAGAGCCAGGGATGTGGCAGCGGGTGAGTGCAAGAAGGAAACACTCTGCTCCTGGGCAAACAGGCGGGGAAAGGTCTTTAGGTGGCGATCCAGATTCTCGATGCTCGTCTCCAGGATGCGCAACTTATCGCTGTACTGCGGCAGCCCCTCCACCACCATCTCCTCCTCCGCCGTCTGCTGCAGGTCGTTGACTCCCGCTGAATGAAAATCTTCGATGCCAGCTCCGGTGGCTGCATCTTGCATGTCCAAGCGCTGACTCTTCACTGTGGACAACTTATCCGATGCTGCAGTGGCAGCAGCAGCACCACCAATTGGTGGCAGTGGCAGTGGCAATGGAGCTGCTGTGTCTTTGGCGGCCACTTTCCTCGGTAGCTGAAGCTGCGGCCGCAGTCGCTGTCTGGCTGCCACACTCTGCATCTTCGCCTGCTCCTCTCCGGCAGTGCCTAGGATGTCTATGACCGGTTCGCAATAGATGTGCTCGTCCAGCGAGTAAGTGGAGCACACATTGGAGCTGTAATAACCGGATGAGCCGCTTTTGTCCGTCGAGTAGTGCGAGCCACCGCCGCCAACAGCTGCGGCTGCTGCTACGCCTGCAGCTGTGGATGTTGCAGATGTCGCGGATTTTGCTGCTGCTGCAGATGCTGGGAGTCCAGAGTCCGTGGAAGGCGTGCTGCTGACATTGGAGGCAATCGAGCACTTCTTGCTGCGCTCCACTCCCGCCGCCGACACTGTCATCTTGTGGGGATTGTCGTGGCCGATGCCATTCCCCATTCCAGTCCCAGTTCCAGTCCCAATTCCATTCTTCGAGAGCGTCGTCAATGGCATTGAAGTTGTCGCCGCACTGCAAAGAGAGAGAGAGACAGGAAAAGAGAATCAGTGAAAAATGCTTAAATGAAAGGGAAAACTCGCGCTGGAAAGTGGTTTCGCTCGCTGTTGGTTTTTCGCAATTGCTTTTCGTAGTTTTGTTTACGTTTTGTCAAAGTTGCAGCCAAACAGAAAACAGAAAACGAAAACTGGTTAACTAGGTTAGTGGCTCTGCCTAAGTTTTCCATTTTTCAGCTGTCGTTTTCGGTTTTTTTTTGGCCTATGCAAATGACAAGTGGCAGATCGAAAGCAGAAAACCAAACGAAAAGCTACCATCAAAATACTCTAGGATAATCAGGGAAGAGCTTGTTTAAGCACGATAAAAAGAGTAAGTGATGAAAAACTACAAATATTGGATAAATCTCAAGAGATTCAGCGTAAATATCCAATTAGCACGAGGCTGGATGCAGGCAGGGATGCCCAGAGCCCGCACTACTTCAAGTCCCCGAAACAGCAACAGCGATACACAGTCGAAAAACAAACATTTGAAATTACATTTTAAGAAATTCAACATAAAAATTCGATTTCAATTGAAAGAAACTCGTTCTGAACAGGATTTTTGCTTCAGTTGCTGTTGCAAATTTTCATTCGCATTCGCGTTTTGCTCTTGTTTTTCGCTGCCTAACTGTAAAGTTACTGCTTCGAACTACTTCTCGGATTGTTCAAGAGTTTCTTCTGAACATATACATACATCTGTGTGTGTGTGTTTTGAACAAACTTTTTGGTGCACCACGAAATGCGGGCTGATGACGTGGTGGAAATCGCGACAGGAGTAATAGAAAATCAGTGGAAAATGCAGCGAGCATGACCAGCGAGCGACTGGAAGGACTGGCAACCGCAGAACTTATACAGCTAGAAAAACCACACATTTTCCAAAGATCTAAAATGCATGGAAATCGAATTTTCTGAAAGTCGAGCATCAGCCGCTCTGTGCTGTCTTTAATTGCTGATTGATTAACCTCATCTTTTCTGTACCACTGCTCTCTATATTGGTTCTACATTTGCATTTTCTTGCTGCTTCAGATTTGCATACACTCGGAACGGTGGCCTGGCGCCAGTGGCAATGCTTTAATAACTCACTTACGAACGCTAACAAGCTCCCAGTATCGGTTCTACATATAAATATGTACCAGTATGTGCTGCACTCTATGCGATCGGCACTAGGTCAGCGCCAGCCTGGCTTTTGGCCATGCACAAGAGTTGCGTAATAACGGTTTTGGCCGCGTTGCCGTGCCGCTGCTTGGTTTTTGGTATTTGTTCTTGAATGGTTTGGTCGCGGTGCGTTACGCACCCAAAATAAAACACCGATAGGTTGCTTTTTCGGCTGAGATTTGGTTGCATGTTAACCGATGCGTTGCAAATTTGCTGGGCAACAGAAGCAGGCAACAGGCAGGCAGCCGCAAGGTTAGCCTTAACTTTAGTTCGGACCGGCAAGAGCATGAAATATTTTGCAATCTTTGGATAGTACGCGGAGTATATGTTTATTTTGTTTGTTCGAACTGTGTTAATTAAAATGTTCAGCCTCGTTTGCATGCACGGAACCCACTGCCGGACAGGCCAACGGACAGACGAACGGACAGGCGGAGCAGCCGTTAGTAAATACATTTTGTGTGGCCGCTAATTGTTGTTGACTTGTTGCCCAGACAAATTACACTTGCTTGAGGTTTGTGGCTCACACTTTGGTCCTCACACCAACATTCAGCATTCAACATCCAGCAACTTCTTTTTATATATATTGCATATACTCGTATCTGGCTATCAATTGCACATCAATCAAAGTGATTTAATCGCTGATTGGTTGAGATGGATATGGATGTTTGCTATGCGAGTGGATGGTTGGACGGATTGGTTAAATGCTGACCTTGGCATAGCTGCTGCCAGAGCTACTGCTAGTGCTGGGGCTGGGGCCATAAACTACAGATATAACTATGGCCTAGACGGGCAATGGCTCAAATATTGAATACAAATTAGCGACGATCAGCGTCGCCACAATTGATGGCTAACTATGATCTAACTGCACCCGATGATGGCCAATCGGACAATGGAATCGCATTCGGAGAAGGTCAGATTTGAAGAGCTACTGTGCGAAATTCGTGCCTTTTGCTAGGCCTGCGTGTGCTGTGGCACACTACGTGAGTTGTTGATCAAAATATTTAGTTATGGCACCAACGTGGTCTGCCTGCCAAGTGTGGATTGGTAAAGGGCTCAGAGGGTGACTCATTTGGGTCACATATCGGTCGGCATATAATTGCATTGACCTTGGGTGGGAAACACTCTTGGCACTCTTGGCATTTGTTTAGCTCTTTCCTTGATTGCTTATCATGATTACCATATTCTGAGACAGCCACTGACCAAAATGGCCAAAGAAACAAGTTGCAAATGCGACTGCGACTATCTGCCAATTAATGGAAATTGCTGTCAAAGCGCGGCACGACTCTGGGCAACGAATCGACGATGCCTGTACAGGCAGATTTCTATATACTGTAGATACACGTAATCGTACTGCTCGTAAGCTCAAAGTATTTATTGTATATTTTTTGAGAGATATTTCAAACCCAAACTGGCTTCAAGCGCTGACCTTCAGCGAATCGAAGATCTTGAGCCGGTGTCGGTGCCGGTGGCTTCTTTAGTTTCAATTAATAAACGTAATTGTTGCAGCTGTCTGCAGTTGTTGCCTCTGCTGCTGCTGCTGCTGCTGTTGCTGCTGCTGCAACTGCTGCTGCTCTTGCTGACCGCCATCAAGTGGCAGCTCCTCTAAAAACAACAATATCCACAATCCATACTCGTATAGAGAGGGAAAAAGAGGTGAAGGCTGACAACAGGCGCCAAAAACCGCATTGTTCGATGCTGCTGCCGCTGCAGCTTGAACTTCAGACATCATTTACATAGCTGCTGTCTGCCAGTCTGCCACTGCGGCCACTGCAGGTTGCCTCATTTGTACGAGAACCATCTCTGGCAATCATAATCCCCATTTAGGGCCACACTCTACCGCTGATTGTAATCGTCACCTTAATGCCCTGCTAATTGCCGTGGAACAACATCATTACAAAATATGTGTATGTATCTGTGGCGGCTGCTGTTGCACCTTCAGTGAGCCATGAAGTGTTGCTTCAAGTAACATGCACAACAAATACGATTTTGGGATATACTCGTATGCTCTTGACGTGTCTTGGCTTTACTTTGGGCCTCTCCCTCCCTACTCCCAAGGTTGTTGTCGGAATGATGAAGGTTGCTGCATTATGGTGCATATTTGGGTTGCACGAACACACACACACAGAGATAAATTATGGGCTGAGCTGTTCTTGGTGTGAGCCAATTAATAATCCAGGGCAGAGAGAGAGAGAGAAATTATGGAGCTGTAGCAGCACTAGAGATTCCTGAAAGATTTCTCTGCCATCTTGGTGTATAAATAATCCCATTATGCACTTTAAAACTCACCTCTGATACTTGAGCATGGCGCGCGGCAGCAGAAAGTTATCGTTGCTGGCGGACGCCACTAATCCTGTGGCGATGCCGCCCGCTGCTGCCGTCGTTGCCTCTGCTACTGCTCCACCGACTGGTGCTGCACCGCCGGGTCGTCCGAAGAACGCTCCCAGGCGTTGCAGATAGGCAAACTTGGGGGCTCCCAAGGGTTCATGTGGCACCGAGTAGCGGCCGCTGCTTCTGCTAGCCGCATCGCCATCGTCCCCGTCCCCGTCCTCGTCGTAGGGCAGCACCTCGATTGCATCAAAGTCGTAGGAGTTGAAGTATGCCTGTTCCCGGGTGCGTTTCACCTGGGCCGCCTCCGTCACATGGTCGGCGGATATGTCTGTGGGGGCCTTCTTGCTAGCCGTCGCCCCCGAGCTCTTGCAAATGGGCATGGCTGTGGCTGCCTCTCAGTGTCCCAGCCCTGGCTGCAACAGAAATAAGAGTAAAGCAAACAAATTCAATTATCATTTATGTACAACGTTCCGTCCAACAGCTTGCACAATTGCACAATGTTTATGGTTTTTTACTATTACCGAAGCGGGAACTGGGGCTGAAACTGGAGCTGAGGGTGGACACGGGACTCGAACTGAAACTGGTTTCCTGTTGGCACAGAATCCATTTGATTTTGTTGCCTTTTGGATGGATGCAAAAGTGTGTGTTGTTGCCCCGACTCATGACTATGCATTAATTAGCCGAAAAGGGTTTTCGCAATTGCATAATTTCCAAGCTGGAGGAGGAGTCTCCCAGAGTCCATAGTCGAGAGTGCGGAGAGTGCGGAGAGTGCGGAGAGTGCCGAGTCTCGTCTAAAATTAATTTATGAGGCAACATTTGCAAATGCCAGCAAATGGTTATCCCCCTAATCCCCAATGGACTTTGCACTCTCTCTCTCTCTTGCAGAGTTTCGCACCGAAAGGCCTGGGCCCTGGGTCGTTATGTTCATGATCGATCGATAAATGTTGGATGGACTCACAGCTCCATCATTTACTGGTGGGTGTGTCAGGGGAATGGGTCTCTCTACTCTCTAGTGTTGGCTCATCGCCGTGCATAATGTTCCGCGCTATCGCCAAATAGCGCCAAAGTGCAGGGGCTGCAGATTGCATTGGGATTCCAGTTGTTGTTGTTGTTGGTGTGGCAATCATCTGTTTTCATGCCACTCACAGAGAGCATGGTTGATGGTGGAAATAATACATGAGGCAGACTCCCACGAGTAATCCCTAAATGCAGCATTCCTGTTCCAGCCAAAGTACGAGTTATACCCCACTAACCCAGTCTGTAAGTCTACCCACCAAACTTGCATAAGTTCTCCACCAACTCTCCATCAAAGCTTTATTTTGCGGATGCCATTTCCTGAGGTCAGCTGGGCAGTTTTCTTGGCAAACTCTGCGGTTAGTGGTTAGTTAGAGGCGCCTCATTTGATGGATTTCTGTGGCAGCTGCAGCCTTAATCATACCACATAATACTCTTAGTAATGTCGGATTAATCGCTGATCGTGTTACCATATGATGGAGTTAGTGTTAGTGTTAGTGTTAGTGTTGCTGCTGATGACATGCCAGGCCGTGCCATGCACATGTGTGCCATGGTCAAAACGACAAACGACAAACGTTGAGTTTTTATTTTCTAGTTCTGTTGTTAGCCCACAGTGACAACTCGGAGGTTGTGTTTGTCGTCTTCTGTCCTCCGTCCTCTGACAGAGAGAGGCAAGGCGGAGGCAGTGAAGAATTGCAGTGTAAAACCATTAATGACAGTTGGCAACATCAAACGCTCAGTTGGTTTCCGTTGCCGTTGCATGAAAGGTACGCTGATTGCAGCCACAGACACAGAATATCAAATTGGAGCAGCTCATCAAGTTGCTACAAAAACACAAACAAAGATCGACCGATGAGGCCACAGATACGCTTCCCATTTCAGAGTCTTTCAGCTGGTGCTATGATATTAAATGCAAATGCTGAACGAACTTTGGAAACAAGAATGGATTTGGCTGTGGAAGCTGTTGACTGGAAATCGATGGCTGTCCGGTTGCTGGCCAAAACAATTGAAAGCTCGAGTGGCCGGCTACCCGCAGCACTTGAGTTATGGAAATGTGAATCAAAATACGAGTAGAGACAATGCGGACTTGGACTGGACTTGGACTGGGCCTGCCACGGAGACGTGAGGGTTTTATTTATAGTTTCAACTCTTCAATCAGAATGCCTGCGGTGGCTTTTGATATTTTAATGAGTCAATTGGCACTCGTACTAAATGCTAAAGACGAATTGGTAACAGAATTGGAATGGGAATCCGAATTGGAATGGGAATCTGGTGTTGATGTTTGAATTTTGTATGCCAATCTTGGCGTTGCCATGTGCCCAGATCTGCCTTGTCGGATTTGCCATGAATACATCATCGCCGACGGCCGACTGCTGACGGACAAAAGACTTGAGCGACAAACCGAGCCGATTGCACAAGGTGGGGCCAGCCAGGCGATCCAAAAAAGAAATCTTCATAAATGAAGCAGCGGGCCCAAGCCACAAAAATCGCGAATCTGCATTGTTTTCCAGCGGCATGGCGAAATCACGTTTGCCATCGACTGGCTGACTGAATGATGCTAATTTACACTGATGCCCTGCGCCACTGCAAAAAACACGTCAGAGATGTCAGAGGCGTGGCGACGCCTCCGCCCAACATGCGGCGGCATGCGGCAACTTCAAACTGCATTTGCCGTGTGCCACGTAACTGGGGAAAACTGCAGGCAGGCAGGCAGGCAGGCAGGCAGTCTGAAAATGTGGCCCTAACACAATGACTGGGCCAAAATGTGGCTGCAGCTTCAGCTGCATCTTCAAGCCGCAAGTTGAAGAGAAGGGGCAGGCCACGACGAAGCCTTTAATAGCCTTTTGATGAATAGCTTAAAGTCTGGCTGATTTTTTGAGAAAAATTGTTCACTAATGGTAATTAGGAATCCAAATTTGTAAGTGTAAAAATGTCTCCCTTCAAGCACTTCCAGCCAGTCCGCATATACTCTCTGGCAGGGTATAAACCGCACAAAATCTCATGTAGCGAAAAGAAAAAAACAAACAATACTTTTTTCTTACTGTTCGTTGTTTGTTTAAATCGATTGCGCAACAAAGTAGTCTCGGGATATCTGAGTGATCTACAGCAAGAAGACGACCCCGAACAAAGAGCCTAACTATCTACTTGTTGTGCATCCAATATCCTAGAGTAGTTTTGGTCGCCCTGGAAAAGGTCATTGAGGCCCAGAGTCGCAATGTTTGTGCAAGATTTGAGTTCCACTCGCTTTTAGAGTGGCAGCCCCACACTCCAGTTTTAGTTTTTTAACGCGTTTCGCCCTTAACTCTTCATTAAATTCGAGGCTGTGAAGTGTGGCCAGGAGATGGTAGCTTTTCGGAGCGTTCACGGCTCGTTGCACCCACAACTCACGCTGCCTGCCTTAAAGCCACTCTGACTGTCGGCGCGTCTGTCATTGAGGCTGCCCCACTGTCTGTGGCAAAAGCCTCTAATTAGTTGGTAGCCGCTCTCAAAGAGACATTTTGCAACAATGATTACGGCGGGTTGGCGGCAATTAATGCAATTAATGCCTGCACTGGCCAACGCTCAGAGCTCCACTAATGTCGCGTCATAATTGCAATTTAGGGCAGGAAAAAAAACGCACAGGGTTAATGTTAATTGCAGGCGCATTAGGCGCTGCCCTGTACCCACGCGGCCTATCTAATTAAGGTCTCTGGGAGTCGAGACCTTGTGTACGCAGAAAGTAAATGGGAGACTTTGCTGTTACAATTTCCAATCTGTTGAGGGCCAATGCATCTTAAGTTACTTCTTATCGCGGGGAACGCAACGGCTCGAGGTGATTGATAAATAATTCCCCTAGACACACCCCCCAAAGTTTGCTTCCCAGCAGCCGATTGCTGCGAGTATCTACTATTAAATTGTGATTTAGCCAAGTGTGAGAGCCATCAAATGAATGCGCATAAATTAGGCAAGCAGTGAGCAGGGCAGCAGGTGAGTAGCATGAGTAGGTCCAGCGAGTACTCACTCCTACTCCCTTGTCCAGCTCGAATAAGTTGTAAAATTTAACGAGCATAATTAAGTGCAGGCCATAAGTGGTGGGGGCGTTACCCACTCTTTTGGCCAATAAATCGCAACTGGCGAGCACGGGCGAGTCAGAGATTATGTAAATGGCCCCACTGGCACTGTCTATGTGGATGGATATTTCTAGACGTTGCTCTGGGACGGTGGACTCTGCTCTGCTTATTAGAATGCTTTCCATGGTGTTGACAGATATAAATTTATGCTAAGCCGAACTCTGACCTTGTGCCCCAGAGACAACAGTTGAGTTTTTGTTCTTCCTCGGTTCATTCCCTCATTGATTGCAGCAATCAGCCAGAGGTTGTCCGTTGCTTTTGTTTGCTTTTTTGTTTGTTTGATTATTCGGCAGAGGAGAACGTTAGATTTCGATTAACCTTGTCTGTGGCTCTTGCCACATTGAACATCAGCGACCGTCAGCGGCGAGACGCTCTAAAATACATCGAACAAAAAAACATAACAAGCAGAAGCGCTCTGGCTCCAAAAATAGAATGGAATGGTCAGGGCATTGAGCATATCAACACACAGAAACTACACACAAATACATACAACATGCCTGAGAGTGTATGTGTGCGCTGTAATTACGGATGCGGGATATGAGGAGGAACTTCGCTTATTTTGAGTGCTCCACTGCTGCAGCTTTAGCTCCAGTTTCAGCCTTAGTTAATCCCGCCATGCGGTGCAGTCAAGCGGCAAACACTTGACTTGCCCACTTCCGCCCACCCACGCCCGCTCTCTCCACTCACACTTTTTCTGCACTTTTCCTTTGGCTTATTCAAAGCGTAGCAACAAAGTTAATCTGGTTGTTTTTCCTGCTGCTGTTGCTGTTGCTGTTGCTGTTACTGTGTTTTTTTTTACCAGCTTTTCCCATTTCACAACTTTCGCTCTCTTAACGGGGAGCTCTTTTCTTGCAACCGAAAATTATTTTAGCTTAAAATGTCAATCCGCATTTGCCTTTGAGGATCAGCAGGAAAAGCCACAGCACAAAGTATTTATTTCACAGTTTTTTGAATATTTTTAAAACCTTCTTTCATGCGATTCACATATCAGCCTTTACAAATAAATTGTGTTGGTTTAAGTTAAAGTATATTAAGAACAAGAAAAAAAGCATTGCTCTCCGACGAATACTTTTTCCTAAAATGAGAAAAACTTAGCGCTTAATCCTTATTTGTTGCTGCGCATAAAACGTAATTTTAGGAGGACAATAGAGGACTTGCAGTGTCAGCTTAAACTAGTTTTTCCTCTAGGTTTTCCCTCTAAGAGCCATTGAAACGGATGTACAGCAGAATGAATGAATGTTGCCTGTTGAGGCGACTTTGCGGCCTGTTTCCTCTGAAACATTCATGCGAGTATCTCACTATATGCACTTGCCACCCATGCCTCCCACGCCACTTGACACATGGCAATTGTAGGGCAGGGAGTGAGAGAAAGCGGAGGGGAAGGATTGTGGCAAGTGTGCAAACAGAACGAACAAAACTGCCAAAACATGTTGAGACCTCATCTCCGTACACAAAAGCCCAAACCCGACATGTAATCATAGCTCGGGGCTTAAAGAACTTTGGGCTGTTAAGCCCCCAGTATAACAGATTAGTTTCCGTCGTTACTTGATAGCTTCTTGCTATTGAAGTTTGATATTAAACATAATTTCTTGGTCTTAAGTTGTCTTGCTGTGGGAGCAATGACTTAACCAAGAGTACCTATGCTATGCTTCTATCTTCAGAGCGTGCTGCCCATATATCGTTTGGCTTTGTCCAACGCTGAAACTGCTGCTGTTGAAGGCAAAACAAAACGCTTGAAGATGTGCCAGTGCCAGTGCCAGTGCCAGCAATATCCATTTGAATACACACTCATATGCATAATCCCATTCGTGCTCGCATCCATCTCTGGTCAGCAGTCAAGGTCAATGCTGATTCGTGGCAGAGTGACCGCTTGACATTTTGACACAAATAAGCCGTCAAAACGGAATCACAACGGAGGCAACAGCAGAGACAACTGTGGTAGCAACAAGTGTGCCAGCAACAAGTGCAATTCGTTGACTCTGAACTTGAAATGTTGTGCAAGGCAATCAACGGTGTGTGGTGGAGGTGAGTTCGGACATCCGTGACTTTTGGGCCAAGCGAGGAATTACATATTAAATGCAGACAATAAAAAGCGGGAAGCCCGGAAATTTGACAAGAGAAAACCAGTAGGCTGCCAATTAGTGATGTATTTGTTCGGCTTGCATGTTACGGCTGTTGTTGATGTGCCAGACACTCCACAAGTGCAAATCTTGCAACAATTAATAGCAAACGCCTCAATATATGCATTTTCATTTACATTTACATTTTCATTTGCATTTGCATGATTTAATTTTCCAGTATTCGTTCGCTGGGCTCGGCGGCATTCAAATGTGCTCAAAAAACGGGTTTATGGCACTTGGCCAGAAAGCACCATTATGATGGAAATTAGACCCATAATCGTAATAGTGGGTTTTGGGTTCAAGTCTGCCCGCCTGTCTGTCCGCCGCTCATTGTGCGTCCATTGTGCGGCGCCGTGGTCCAAATTGAGACAATTGAGACAATTTAAATCAATTGAAAGCTGATATATCGATGTCAACGCCGGATGTCATGAACTTGAAAAATTACCATTTAATTTGCCATCTCAATGCGTTTGGTTTTTTCTTTCTCCTATGGCGAGTATTATTAATACGATTTTAATGGCTCGTCGTCTCGGTTCCAGACTTATATTCAAACTCGATTATATGCATGCTAATAGCTGGATTGCTTGGCTGGATGGCCGTTTGAGTGTTGGGTTTCAATTCTGGCATTCTTATTTCTTAATTGGCTGAAAGCTCCAGAAAAGTAAAAGGGAAAACGAAAACACTAATAAATTATTCCCGTCTTGCTCTACTATATTCTCTATATAAAGTTGCAGATTAAACATCTGAATACATGATTAGACATGCTATAAAAGCGATCATTTGTCAGCACTCCAGCACTTCACAGAATCATCAGATAAGGCCCGTACTTGGGCTGATATATTCGCCAGACTTGAGGCATTCATTCGCCGGACACAGGAATCCGTACAGCTATTTATTTATCTTATATTTTTGGATTTTAAATATTTGTTTTATATTTGAATTTGGTGGGGAAACATGTTTTGGAACCAGGTTCTATCCGTGCTTATCACTCCTGACTCTGACTGGTTTATTTCTGACGGTGGACAAGTGTGTGTGGTTTATTAATACACGAAATTGGCTCGCTGCCAATTCCGGTTCGTCGAACCTTTCACTTATGGATGCTCTGTGAATTCCACAAGCTGTTAAATAATCTTGAGATCGTGACAAAGATGTGCTCGAGTCTCTAGATCTGATCTATTGTCTCCCACAACGTCAACAGTGGCAGTGGCAGTGGCAGTAGTCAAGTGGTGTCCGTGTCCCCGACAATCGGTCATCTCATGGCACATCTCGTTAATTTGTGGTTTCCATTGAGCAATGAAATATCTCAACCGCATCATGAAAATGAATTATTTATTTGCCTACTGGTAATAATGTGTGATGGCTGGTTTTAAATAAAAATGAATTATCAATTTTCAAATGGAGAAAGAGCGGAGGTGGAGGCGGATGGGTTAAGTGTCTGTCTGTGCATTGTCAATGACCGCATTTGTATATTAATTATTTGAGTTTGTTGCCTCATTAATTTGGCTAAAGTAACACCCACCCACAACTGTTGCCAATGTGCTGTAAGCCATCTGGTTATTCGCTCTCTCTCCTCGCATCTTCGTGTCTCTTCTCTATTTATAGAGGCTTATAAGTGCCAGAAATACGCATAGTGTCGTAATACTCATGCATTCAATATAAAATGCGATGATTGATTTTCAGCCATCGTTTGGAGGAGGCTCAGCCATAAATGGAACAGACAAACAAATTTCAAACTAAAGTTGGAAATGGTGCATCTGCGACACGCCCTCTACACTCTGTACACATGTTTGCAAGATGTATCTATAAATAGCTGAAACAGAATTTCAGCTTTGTTTGAGACAGCACCAGCTGTATTTACGTGTGTGCTTAGTATGTATTTGTTGAAAATTACTTTTAAGTCGATTTTTAATTTCTTTTTCTGCTTTTTTCCCATCCATTCAACAGGTTTCGCTAAAGAGGCAAACTTGTTAGGGGGTTCCGATGACGCTAAACCAAATAATAATTATACAGAAAACTTAGTGGGAGGAAAAGGCCGAAAACAAAAATAGAATAACAGATCCCGATGCGATGAATCAATTTACAGCCAATATGGATTGGCTTCTCAAATGGTTTTGAGCTAATGAATTACTTCCACCTGACGTGCCAACACCAATTGGGTTAGATGTCTCTTAACAGATTCCCAATTTGGTGTGCCAGGAATTTCTATTTATTGTTAGGCAAAACACGAAACAAACCAGACCAAAATACCAATTAAAGGCTTCACGAAATTAAGTCATCAGCTGAATGTTTGGTGCGTTTGGGTTTCCTGTGAAAAATGCAATCTACCAGCATGTAATTCAAAGCCAAATAATTTCGATTTATTTGCCATTGAAATTGTTGAAATTGTTTGAATGTTTGCAATTAAGAAATTAAAATGTAGATAACCAGATTAACCATAATTTTGTGATAGGGTATTTCAGAGCTTCGGTTAAGTCACATTTAGTTGCCTCCTCTGCATTTACGAGGGTCATTAAAGGCCAGGACAATATAAAATTGTTTGGTGATTTCGGTCAGTGTCTGTGTCTGTGTCTGTGTTGGGTTCTGGGTCTCTGTTCTGTGTCTATGTTCTATTTGCTGGTAATCCTTATCTAATTTATGCAAATTCCGTATCGGTTTAATGACACAATGGACGCCGTGGGGCGCACGATTTGCGGCGACTAATTCGTTTGATTGTAATTAGTTGTAATTGGTTTATGTTAATTGCTTTGCGTCCGTTCGACCCTCTCTCCTTTTGTTCACACATACAATATGCACTTTAAATAAAACTTACCTCACCCGAGCACTTTAAACTGTGACCAAAGTTGATTCCTTTCCCGATGATATTGTTTCTGCTTGCGTTGCATAAATGTTTGACGGCTTTGCACATAAAAAAGCTAACAATCAGAGAGACAGAAATTGGTAAGCAACAATTGCATTAATACCTGGCTTTTAATTGCCAAATTTACAGAGAGAAACGCACACACACACACACACGCATACACACATGCACCACCCTGGGACGGACACTCGGAGAAAACTTGAATGCAAAACAAGCGGCAACGGCGGCGACAACTTGTTCGAAAAAAGTCAAATGGTCAAGCAGCAGCAGCCACCGCCGCCGTCGAATGGAGTTGATTAAAAAATTGTGTAAAATACCGCCAGACGACGTGTCGTCGCACCAGTCCGCGGACAAAAGTTAGTTTAAAGTTTTTTTTTTTTAATTTCTGTCTCTTCTTCGGCAGCGTTTTGTTTTAACATCTCTGGCCTTTTTTGGAGGGAAAAACAAAACCAAAAACCCATGGCAGACAAAATGAAACGAAAATGAAACGAAAAGCACACAAATATTGCAGCCCAAGATGAGCAAAGCGCACGCCAAAAATCAAACTTATGCAATTTCTTTTTGTTTATTTCCAATTTCTGCTTCTGCACTTCTCTCCCTCTTCTCTCTTTCTTTCTTTGTGCGGCTTGCTCTCATACAATTTTTCTGGCTTCGGCTTTTGTTATTGCTGTTTAATGCACTTTTTTCACACACAAACACACATATTGCAGTTTCGCAGCTCTGGAGATCTGCACGAAATCGTGTCAGAATATCATATGGGTTGCTCTGTTATTCCTATATTATCTCCCAGTGTCCCAATGTGGTACCGAGCGAGCCACCTTCGTATAGCGACGATGCGCGGCTGCGTGGAGCACCACATACAAAAATCACAAGCGACAGCCGACCGACAACCAACGACGTGAACGAGTTAAAAGAAACTGGCAACGCCAGCTATCTGCCAGCGCAAAGACAAGACTCGGCGGAGTCGGTCACCGTGTTGATGTTCGTTCGCTGACGCCGCTGTTGCTGCTGTTTCTGCTGCTGCTGCTGCTGCTGCTGATCTTGCGATATACCCTAATCGTATCAAGGGGTGGCGTCACTTTTCTGAGGCGTTTGCCAAACGAGAGGGAGATGTTGTTTAATAATGATGTCGATTATTATTTAAATGTGTTATTGGCAGGAAAATAATGATTTTCCTTTTTATCCACAGGCTTTATATCCAGAGCTGGCACTTGATCAAACTAAGTCATTAATTAAAATATTTTTATTATGATTGACCGAGACTGTTATCAAGTAAACACATTTAAATCACATTTAATTTTTATGGATTTGTTTAACGGGCATCAATGTAGCTCGAAAAATTGGTTTGTCTATTCCTAAATACCTGAACTTCGGGATGCTTATTTTGCAAATTTTTTTGAGGATGCCTGAATCACTAATGTCCCTACAATGTAAGTATAACATTATTTCCATAGCATGATCTAGTGGTGGAAAAGGCTAAGGCTAATTCTGCAAATTTCCCAAGGGTGCTTACATTTTGAAATTTTATTTTACTCTTTCTTGAGTGATTGGAAAAACTTGAGGTGAAGTTAATTTAAATTTAAAGTTATTTAAGTAAATATAGATATTGCACTAAATGTTATTATTATATGTTAAACCACATTAGTTTATAAATGTATTTTATATCATTTAAATTTAGCATTTCCAAGTGATGAAGAATGGCAGGAAAATGATTTGTTCCCGTTTTGGCAATATATTATTACTGGTAGTGAGTGCTTCATGCTGGATTTACATCTGCACCAAATTAGAGATTAATAGGCTTCTACTAAATGCTCCGCTTTAAATTTATGTAAATTAGTTTATGTTAATGTGATTTGCTGGAAAAACCCAAATGCCAGTGCACCTTATTTCTTGTAGCATAACTTTAGGCTGTCGGTGTAAACAAACATGCTTACATAAATATGTACAAATTTTACATGCATACCACAAACCCATGTGTATTTACATTAAAATAAAATTTGACAATTGAATTCACAATTTAGCCTTTTGCTTTAATTTTTATATAGAATACCATTTTCAGACCAGAAGTCAATAATTTCTCTCGGACTAAATATATTATGTAAATGTATTTTTATTATGTGTATAATTTTTATTGACCATGAATTTTCAGCTTAAGGGTATTGCAGGTCAACGATAATCTATATCCAGAGCTAACACTTGATCAATAGACCTAGACTAAATGCATTTGTACATTCAACAATTATAAATAAGAAGAACATAGTCTTGATGATTTTTTTCAATGGGCATTATGTGCTCCACTTCCAAATGTTTCGTGTACGATGTAAGGATTATCAGACATCAGATAATGTAAATGTAATTTACAACATCCTTTAAATGTAGAATTTCTATTATTATTCTTAATTATTTTTTTTCGCGATTTAGGAATATTTTTGTACAGGTTGTGCTTGAGGTCTATAGATCTATCGTAGGTCTATATCTGAGGTCGCAGCGGCAGTGTTTGCTCTGTTTTAAATGAAAACTCACAAACCTTGTCACAATTCTATTATGTTATAATTCAACTTCAACTTAATTGATGTAGCATTATTGCTTGAAGCCTATTTTTGAGTATAACGCAGATGCATAATAGTAAAACTAGATAATTTAATCCATAATTTGCAACATGTCAATATACATTAAAAGCCGATAAAGTCGGTGCATAATTTAATTAACTTTAATGTGGAAACCTATATATTGTGCAGAGTTTTGCAATTTGTATACCGACCTCAATAAATACTTCTTGTTTTTTTTTAAAATAATTTTCTAACAGCCAAATACTTTTCATTGTCGTACTTATTTTTTGGCTGAACATCATTTTCCGCTTGATATTGATGCCCAACCCAAGGACTTGTTTTTGCCTTTTGTATTTGTATTTGACAACAGTGGACTGGGCTTGGATTATTTAAAGCAGCAGAAATTATAAAAAAAAGTGGTCTATCCAGCCAGAGCATCGCCAGTCAGTCATTGACGTCACACAATTATGGCTTTCTGTTCTGGGGAAGCACGGAGAGAGTGGCTGCAACATTCGCCCCAGCTTCCAAAATTAAAACGAGCGTAATGGCTCCTAAAACAATTACACAACGAGGAGGCACAACTTTTATACCCGGTACTTAGTCAATATATCTGTACCTCCATTTTTTTTTTCGAATTTTACATTTTTTCTACATGTGCCGCATGTAGATCTACATCTACAGCACATCTCCCGCCAACGCGCCGACAACGCCTGTGATATCACTTGAGTCTTCGCAACCAATTTGGTTACTCTAGCTCTTATAGTTTCTAATATCCAGGCACTCATCACGACAGACGGACAGACGGACGGACAGACAGACATAGACTCGTGTATTGATGTAGATTAAGAACATACATATATTATTTATGCGTTACATTGCTCCAACCACAAATACAATATACCTTACTCTTACCTTACACTTACTCTTCGAGCACCGGGTATAAAAAATGGGCACACATTAAGGTTTCATCTCCTTCTCCGATTATTTTTAATGGAGATTATTGAAAAAAAACGAGAAGGGACGTGTGAGACGCTTCTTACGCGTCACAACTTTGATACCCGGGACTCAGTACTACATCTGCACCTTGGCGGTTATTTGTCAAATTGGACATTTTTTCTTCATCTGTCATCTACATCATCAACACACGCTCCTTTAGCTCGCCACCCTCCCCTAGAGCCACACACTGCAGAGTCAGGGCAAAGACGCGGCAGAGGCAGAGACGTGTCAGAGTGTGAATGAGACAATGTGAAAAAAACAAATTTAAGCTGCGGAACGGGGTGGGTTTAGCCACTGGAAATTAATTTCTTCATTGTGGCTATAATAATGATCAAATCGGATTCCAATTTGGTGATCTGATAGATATGGTCATTTACGGAATGGCGTGGAAGGGCGGGGCTAATTTTTTAAATACACTGGTTTCAGTGTGAGCATATAGCAGTCTGGATGCAAAATTCGGTGGCTCTAGTTCTTATAGTCTCTGAGAACTAGCCGAAAAACAAGACGGACAGACGAACATATCGACTCGTCTATTGATGCTGATCAAGAATGTGCGTTACATACAACCGTTATTCGCACAAATACAATATACCCTATTTACTCTTCGAATACCGGATATAAAAACCCAGCTGCATCTGTCGTAAAGCGGAGAGTGGTGCTGCACGGGCTTATGATTCAATTAGGCCTCAGCCCAGACCATCGAAATGTCATTGTCTTCGGTGGCGGTGGCGGTGACGGTGACCCTAGCAGCCCTAGACCTACACTGCAAGCTCCTCCTGGATTTCGCTGGGAGTGTTGCTCGTCTTATGTCATCCTGGTCTGCGCAGGGCTTCCTTTCATACTATACCAAGGAGTGGTGGCGAGGGAGCTTTGTCGTGCAACAAACGCTTCAAGTGAAATCCTATTTACTTGCCAATTTTACATTCGAGTGCACAGTCGTGTCGGGTCGGGTCTGGTCGGTGACGTCAGCACGATGGTTAGGCGCCACATCAGAAGCCAAAAACTATGCTCCTATCTCACTCTCACGCTCTCACACACCACACACATACAAAAACACACACACACAGAGTAGTTGCAGAAAAAACGCATAATTTCATTACCAAAGCTCGAGGTTTGTTTTCAATGATGTCATATGGTCGCTGCTCTGGCCGGAAGTGTGGCGAGTCCTGGCCAACGCAGGCGCACTTCCGCTTTCTCTTTCCGCCTCTCTTTTTTGCTTGGTTTGTGACGTCATAATTCTCTTAGCAAAATGCCCTCTCTTAAGTGTGTGTGTGTGTGTGCGTTTGTCTCTATTCTGATGTTTGTGTGAGTCCAGCAGCTGTTGTTATGGACATGTCTTTGCCTGTTCATTTGCGCTGCCTACTGCCCCACTATGAAGGCTTATCCCTAAAGCCGCTTGGCTTGGTTGCCAGGACATTGATGGGGCAGGACATTAACCTCAAGGCTCCCTGATTGAAATATTAAATTACGAAGCAGCAGCGCTTTCATTTTTGATAACATTTTCCAGTAATTTGTTGGGATGGATACTCGCTCGTGTGTTTGTATTTGATTTTGCCCAAAGGCTGCACGCACACTCACCAGAACAGGGACGAACGAATGTAATGTAATGCAAACAGTGTGCAAATTTTCTTTGCCTATACTCGTAGCCATTCGTCGGTCTCTCCCCCTTTTAAGCCATTAGTTCTGAGGCACAACGAAAGCCAAACAAACAAATTTGAGTCAAACAAGCACTTAATGTGCCTCGTTCTTCCGCTGTTCCGCGGCTTCCCTATAACGGTATGCCGCTCTTCCGCTCCATCTGCAAGTCGAAACTCGATTGACATTGACGCAAACGTAAAATAAATCAAAACACAAAAGTACTCTTGTAAAAACATGAAAAGTTTCCTTCTGCATGGCCAAGTCGCCGAAAGTCAAAGGGAGCGGGGCAAAGGAAAAGCCGATGGCTGCATAACAAATTTATGGCCGGAAGTGATTTTCGCTGAAATCCAATCAATAAAAAATTATGCTACTGCTAAAAATAAAAGCAAAGCCAGCGCAGACCCACGGCCAAGCCAAAAGAGACGGAGGAACAGCAGTAGAGCCGAGTTTCGGATGAGTTCAGATCCAATTTCTGGCCCAGCGGGAAGATGGCGGCTGGTGCCTAAAGTAGGAAACGATAAAATGGCAACGACTCCTGCATGGCTGTCGCTGTCTGAGTGTGAGTGTGCGTTTGCGTGTGAAAGTCTGTGTGTGTGGGTCTGGATTCACAGTGGGAATATCTCGATGGCAAAAGAGAAAACGATGGAGAGAGGCTGGGGCTGAAGTGGCAATCTGCTGTAAAACGCTGAAAGATTGCCGCAAATTTTAGGCGTAGCATGGGAATGAAGAGTAGAGGAAACTGAGTCCGTATACATTTATATTCATACAAACATATGTACATATGTATTTAAGTATATAAAACAAGAGGGAGCAGCACTATAGTTGATATTCGGACTATAAAATACCCACTTCCTACAACTAGATGTAGAAAAGTTCAGTTGAAATCTCCAAATGTGAGAACAATTACAAAAGTAAAGATCTATGGCAATGTTTGCAAAAAACGTACCCATAAAATGTAAAAATAATTACCAGATTTGTTGTATAGTGTTCCTTTTTGAGTTCAAACTTGCTCATTCCATATACCCTCGTAGACTACGAGTACTGGGCCTTGAAATGCTATGGTTTCTTTGCCTTTATCTATGCTCCCTTCAGGCCACCTCCTCCTTCACAAAGCCATACATTTTTATACTGGAATATTTTCAAAATAAATGAATACTGAGGAGGAGCTTCCTTCTATGCGTAAGGACTTCGATTAAATGTAAATTCGATTAGTGATTTTTGATAAAGTTAAGATGGCAACCAGAGCTCTGAACAAACGTTTTTTTATTTGGTGTTTTATTTTATTGGTTGTCGAAGCGCTAAGAAAACACTGAAAGTATATATTTTTGCTTAAATTAAATGTAAAAGAAAACCTTGTCAGGTTTTAGGTTTTCGTGGGTTGTTTGATTTTTACTACTAGATAAAAGAAAATAGTGTCCACTACTTCTCTGGCTCTAATATTGTTTTGTAAGAATTTAAATGTGAATTAAAACCACACTACAGGACTTAACTGTATGCGTAGAAAGTTACTCTGCAAATATTTATAAATATTAAATTTCAGAGCAGAGCTGAGCTGAGCAAGCAGAGGCTATTCCGGCTGGAGTCAAAGTTATGCGCCATTCGAGATAAATCAACAGAAAGCTAAATGCAAACGAGGGCAACACCAACACCAACACCAACGCAGATACACACACAAAGTTACAAAAAAAAAAAAATAGGAAACAGCATCAGTGAAATGAACAGCAACAATAACAATGCAAAGAAAGAAATATTAAACAACGGGGCACCGAAGTATTTGATACACTCGCGTAGCCATTCGTTATGGGCTCTTCAACAAAATTCTCTTCGATTTTCGCGGCTATGTGAGACATGCTTTTAAAGCGAATAACTTTCTTTCAAATGGACAGCCGGAAAACAGACGGGTGGGGCAGCCATAACCTGCATCAACTCGATGATGCCTGCATGAGTTTGACCTTCTGCCCAAAGGGTATAACAATAACAAAGACAATCAGTAAGCAAGAACAAGCAGAGCAGCGGCAGCGTCGAGCAAAGGTGGAACCCATTAACACAGGCAAAAAGCGCTTGTGAGAGAAATGTGAAGCGGGAGGACAAAAGCGGTGCAAGACGAAATCTGAAAAAGCACAAATTGTTCATTGGCTAATTTATGGCCACAACTCACATATACACACACACACACACACACACACACATACACACACACACACACACAAATACACACACACATTAGTAGACATTAACTCGTGCAATTTGACCAAAATGTGAGTTCAAGTACGATGCCGTCTCAGTGACGTCATAAGCAGCCGGAGCTGGTGATAAGAAAACTGCAGTCCATTTCTATGCACGACACACGCAGACAGCATCCACAAAGAGAGTCGCAGCCACAGCTCAGGTAGCGAAGAGAGCGAGCGGGAGACAGCAACAGCAATCTGTTAATGGTGGGACGCACACCCAAAACGCAATCCACACATTAAAAGAGAGCCAAGGAGAGTGAAAAGCTTTTTAGTGCTTTTTGGGTAAAAGTATAAAAGGAACCGCAGAAGCATCCACACGCTCGGTTCGTAAGTGGAACTGCCGGCGAAAAGCAACCCAGAGAAAGCTCCTGCCCCAACAAGCCTCATTTCTCCCCCGAGCCAACAACAAAAAACACCAGCAAAAGAGTTAATAAAACATTAATAAAACACAGAAAAACAAATATATTTTTGTATAGAACGGTAAAAATGTAAAAAAAAAACAGAGAAAATGTAAAAAAAAAAAATAATAAAAAGTGCGCGAGTGTTTGATAAAGACGAACTGTTTTAAATGTTCAAAAGTAATGACATAAATTACGTGCCCAAAATTAGTTTAAACAAAATCGGTTCAACATTTGCCATGTGCGATAAATTAGCGTGAATAAATTGTTGTTACACGAAAGGAACTGCGCAGCAAAATATGCTAGAAAAACGTACGAAAAGAGCTACAGTGGCAGCCATAAGTGTAAGCAGCATGCTGCAATAATAAATTAAATAAAAACAGCAATAACAGCGGCAGCAACAAGAGGAAAAGCCAGCAGCCAGAGGTAAGAAAATTAACCCCCAGGCAGAGGGGGAGGAGGACCACGAATATGTAAATTTGTGCCGTGGCAATACCCAACACGTATCCCCATTTCTTTAGACTCTGAACAGCCAAAAGAGCATTAAGCAACAGAGTAAACATTGGGCCAGAAAAGCCATTCGAAAAGCCAGGAAAATTATGACATAAATGCACAGTTGAACAGAGGAAAACCAAAACAGAAATAAGAGGTGGAATGTGGATGCGGGAGGGGGAAATTTCAATAAATATTCAGGGACCGCGGCAGGCTATTTTATTAACCTGGCCAATGCATTCCATTAAGCAGCAAATAAATTTCGACAGTCCAATGAGAGGTGGATATCTGTGGTCCGAATTTTCAACAACTTTCAGAAAACACACAGACAGCCGACAGACAGACAGACAGTCAGTCCGCCGGAGTGGCAAGCAGTCGTGGGAGACGGCATCTGATTCGTATGCCGCCAAATATTTTATTTGATTTCGCTGTTAATTTTCGATGGCCAGCGGTAAAAACTGCTTTCCAATTAAACGCCTTTCGTGGAAATTCCGTTTGCGTCTTTGGGCAGGGTCCATGCCCATCTCCATCCCTAGCGACCGTCCCGGCCAGATGCCCATTTCCATTCCCGTTCCCAGTAAATTTATGATGCTTCCCTGGCGGGTTTATATTATGTTCCAAACGCTTTAAATCGTTTTAGATGTGTTTGTTTACCATAGTAAACAGTTTCATTGGGCTAGCTTTTCACATTTTTTGATGGGCAGATGGATGGAAAGCTGCCACCTAAAATATTTTCATGGCGATCTCTTCGATGGGTTGTCTTTCATCCACAGCGGGAGGTGGTCTTTGTCAGGGCGTTAGTCAATTTGCATAATTAAAAGTGTCAAGCAATTTTCCCAACACCTGGTAACGGTCGGGAAAGGCGGAAAAGGATCGGAGAAAAATGAAAAAGGAAAAAGGGAAATCGGGGCAGTCAGGTTCCGGGCGTCGAAGGCAGGGTGCACGTCCTGCAATTTGCGACTGATTCAATTATATTTGCCCATCCATCGTTGCAACCTTTGCACTGTCCGTGTCCCCCATGCCACTCCACTTTTCGCACACATGCATAATTCGATTTTCCGGCATTAAAAGGTATTCTTCAGCGTGATGGAAAGTGGAAAAATAACTGCACCAGCACCATGGCGTATTCACTGTGATGGAAAGCAAAATAAAAAAAGGCTACCGCCATGGAATGAGTGATTTTCAAACTTTAAAAAGTTTGCTCTTTGTTAACGGGCACTTTTTTATGGGGAAATCCAATCATATTCTCACGTTAAACAGCACAGAATATGTTCGTTTACACTTGGCTAATTCACAGCTTAACTATTACACACCTCAGTTTTCATTATTTCTTTATGTTTCGGTGAACATTAACACGAAAAATCAAATCAAAACACAAGGAAACTGCACACAAGACACAAATGTGATTACAGAATAAAGCAGAGGTTTAGTTTCTTAAAGTTGTCTTTTGGTTAGAGAATGCTACAAATGTGTAGGTGTATGAATCTGGTGGCAAATCCAATTACAATACATTCCACTAAATCTGCGCATTCTGCCTCCCCCGTTTGGGACATTTTGATAGTGCGGCGGCTGCTGCTGCTGCTGATTTTGATGTGTTTATCTGGATCGCTGTTCGTTGTCGGTCTAATTTGCGATAAACTGACACAAGATTGCAGCTACTTTATTCAAATTATGTGATAAGCCGCAGCGCGCAGCCCGCTAAACAAACAAAGTGGCAACGAAAATAGCCGCACGAAGAGCACGACGGAAAAAATGTGACACAGATCCCAAGAATCCCGAATATCCAAATGGCAGAACCTTCACTGTATCTGAAAGAGGGTGCGTGCAAGTGAGGCAAAAACCTTACCCAGGGGCGTGGCACTGTATCGTGCTCCGCTTTGCTCTGCTGTGCCGTGCCGTGCCTGTGGTGTGGAAAGATATGCGAAAACCACACGAAAACCCCTCCAATAAACAAGAAAAATCAAGAAAAGCCAGTGTCTCGCTCGTCTTCGTTCATTCATGTAATTTTTGTTGTTTGCCGTGTACTGATTAGAGGAGTGCCGACTGATAATTTGCATTGCTCAGAGCGACCACAGATAGAGATGGGGATATGCCACGCTGATAGAGACGGGCAGATAGTGGGACTATGTACGAGTACTAACGAGAATTTAATGGGACTGACTTATCTGCCGCTTGTGTTGCAATTGGATGTGGAGGGTTCCAACATCGATCAATATTTATGTTGTAGGAAAATCATGTTTCGCAGCTCCACTCGAACAAGTGCTCCACGCACTCTTCTCCTAATTGGAGCCACACATTTGAAGCATAACCCATACGCCTCTCAGCACTGCAAATTAACTTCTCGCTTAACTTTATTATAGTTTTTTTCTCTTCATTTGACCAGGCCGCTTTGTTGGGGGGGGGGGGGGGGGGGGGGGGGGGGGGGGGGGGGGGGGGGGGCAGCGTCAACACAAGCTGATTTCAATTTCACGCATTCAAAAACTAGCAAAATATTTCTTATTATTTATTAATATAAATAATATATATGAGTATCTACATAAATGCTATGTATTTATGTATGTATTTAGTTTGCTGAACAGTTTTTCCTATGCTGAAACATATGTTTTCCAAGCGGGCCGAGCCACAAAAGCCAACAAAAGTTGATCCTTCAACTACGGCACAAATGCACAAAGCCGGAAATATGTACACTGAAAGAAGAGAGGAACTTTACAAATATTTGACCTAAGGGGGATCTGAAATTATTACAAATGAATGGAGGATATACGTTTCAGTCAAAACTGAGAAATTCATATAATATACTGCTGAAATACTGCTATTATTTATTCCGAGTGTCGCTTCATATTTTACCTACACCACCTATACCTATACCCATACCTATACCTATACCTATACCTATACCTATACCTATACCTATACCTATACCTATACCTATACCTATACCTATACCTATACCTATACCTATACCTATACCTATACCTATACCTATACCTATACCTATACGCAACTTATATTGTTTCCCGTTGCCGGACAAAAAAGTTGTCCTCTCGGATTGTGGAAGACACTCAATTACAGTGGGAAATGCGATGAGCCGGAAGTTGTGCAGGGAACCTGATATTAAGATAAATGTACTGGACAAATGGGGAATAAGAACAGAAAGGACGTCGAACAAATGCAAGAAGTTCGCTGAAATGATTGTGTGTTTTGTACATTGTTAACTTCTTGCCGCAAGCAAACACAAATTAAATAAATTATTAATTTCCTTCTTTTTTTTTAAATAAATTCTTTGTTCACCTTTGTTCAAGTTTAAGCCCCCTTTCATAAGTGGCTTATTTCTAATTCCAGCAGCAAAAGACAAGAGTTTGAAGAACAATATTTACGGGCTTTTCTTTGCTGCCAGAGAAGATAGATAGAGCACAATATTTGACTAGCCTCAAGAAGGTCGCAGCAGTATCTTCCAAGTATATATTTATGTACATAAATATGTAGACGTATTTGCTAAGCAGATTTCCCCCACAACTTCCGTTCACAGTGAATGAGTTTCTCCGCTTTAATCTCTTTGCAGAATGCACTAGAACCGGCGGACCTAGCCCTGGACCCTGCTTATCCCCCAAAACTGATTCGTAGGAGCTCCTATCCTGCTCCTCTGGCCTCTATCTTTCCTCTACCTTGAAGCCCCTCAGAAGAAGCAACCGAAAGGTATGTAAACATACTCGCACTCGTATAAATAGCCAAATAATTCGTCTGGCTCTTTCGGGTGCCATATTTGGGGCTCATCACGGCAGTGTAAACAGTCCCCACCAATCTGTCTGGGACGGGCCTAACCCGCTCGTAACCCCAGTGCCTGTTTGCCGCGGGCCACCAAAAAGGTTACGCACAGAACATAAATTATTTACTGTACAACAGAACACACTGAATACTGAAAGCTGAATGTTGAATGCTGAATGTTGAATAAATACGGCTTGTTTGTGGCTTTGGGCTCTCAGGAATATGCCGTCTAAATAATGTAATTCAATTTTGTTGCCACTTCTATCAACTATCAGTATAATGATGAATGTTGTATCTGCACTAAGAGAAAAACTTGTACAATTGCCACTAGGTGTGATAAATGGTGATGGTTTCCTACCTGATTATTGATTAATTAAGGGAATCCTCTAAGAAGGTATAACTTATGGTAGACTTTCTTAGCGAATTGTCTGAACCTTGTCTATTATTGGTTCTGATTTGTAGTTATCTCTTCAGTATCTTCTTTTTGTTTGAGAAACACTTTCCGCTGGGGTTCCAAAATATCTCTGAGTGCATGTGTTTGGCTACTTTTACGGCACATAAAACACTAATAGGAAAGCCATCAGAAAAAGGGCGATAAAAGTTGCACAAATTATGGTCGTAAAACAATTTATCAAATTTTTGTGACATTCACAGTCCAATACATGCACACACACACACACACACACATGTCAATAATTGTATGGACACAAGGACATGCTCATTAGACGTGCTCCGGGGCGTGGCAGCCAGCCCACACACACACACACAGGGGACAAAAAAATGTTTTAGTGCAATAATTATCTCACTCACTGTTGGCATATTGAAAAATGGAAATAGAAATGACACGAAAGCCACAAGGAGCTGTATTGGTGACGCCATTTTCTGTGTCTGTGTGTGTGTATATTATTTGCTGTCCGCTTTTAAGAGCCCTGCCCTGCCCTGCCCTGCCTGACCCCATGTTAATGAGATGCAAATAAGGCTCATGTGCGAAAACGATTTGACCGAGTTGGCATTTGGTTTTCACCATTTGCCATTTGGCCATTGGGACATTTGCATACGTCCGCATAGGATGCGGATAAGCGTGTGTTAACGGATAAGGACTCGGACATGGGAACCTTTGGAATATCTTTGCATTACGAACCCAACAACCACGACATCCACAACGACAACGTCGCTCACAAAGTGACGGGAAGGGGGAGTAAATGTGATAATGGCGCCTGACAGCCAAAAAGCGGGGAAGGAGCTGGGAACGGGCACGCAGCGAATGGTTGTCCTTTGTGTGTATAGCAATAACATTCACACATCGGCAGAGCGGTCTAGCGGTTTTTGCACTGAGAAAAACATAAAGAAAAATAAGACAAATTCTCAGCTAGAATATTTGACCATTTATCAGAAAAAGAACCAGATACCAGAGACAATCTGGAGCTGCGCAACATTTATTTTTATCAGTGTATCGCCATAATATCGAACGCTCGATTGTTGCAAAATAAAATGATATTACGCCTGCGTATGGTCGGTATGCTATCATAGAGAAAGGAACAATGTTGCTGGCTTTGAGGTCCTTCTCCTATAATCTATTCAACTCAGAGCTGTTCCAAGTAGTCATTTCTTTGCTACCCACAACAAATGCCGATTCATCTTTACACATATTAATGCGGGACACACATTCCCTATGGCTGTTATACCCGTCCGCCTGTCGGGTGTGTGTCAAATGTGTCTGTCAAGGTTTATTTCCCCCTTTCCCAGTTTTTCTGGTTTCGGTTTCGATTTTGTTGTGAGTCTGACGGCGCGTGGCACTCCAATTAGGCGACAGAATACCTTCAATATTTTGTCATGTCTTCGATTTATTCGATTTATTCGAATTTCGAGTTCAGTTGAAATTTGTCTCTTCCCATCACTCATTTCTTTCTCATATGTCACCAAGGACAACGAACGAGTGGAAAATGTACTTCCAATCTTTTGGGCGTTGCCAATGATGATGATACGAATACGAGAAGGAGAAGGATGTGGTGCAATGTGCAGTCTTGAATGTCATTTTATTGACACGTATGAATGAAGCTGCGAGAGTTTTGTCCAGGCTTCCGAAAATATTGAGGTGAAGCACCATCAATTGTTCATTTATTCCACTCGGCCTCCCCGCCGCTTGGCCAAAAGCAAATACACAAACCCGCCGTTGAATGTCAATAAACTGAACCCACTACCCAAGCACTCACTACTCACATTTACACCATACACTCACAGCAAACCACTCACTCGTACATTCTCAGCACTTATTCACACACTCTCATATGTACATATGTATGTACGGGAGACAAATCGACGTCAACGTCAGCGGCGACGTAACATTTCAATGGCCATTTTCGATGCGGTCGAAACTGGCTCTGACGTCAGAGAGCGACCGTAGACCCCGTACCGGGGGGTGATGTGATGTGATGAGTGCTATACACTCCACACCCGGTTACGAGATTCTTGTGCCACACAGATTTATACGCCTTGCCTGTGAGTATCTCTTTCCCTCTCTCTCTCCCTCTCTCTCTCCCCTCTCTCTCTCCCTCTCTCTCTCTGTGTGCGTCTGTAATTTGGGGCAGCCAAAAAGCTTTTGCTATTTCAGTTTCAGTTAGTTGTAGTCGTAGCTGCAGGCCACAGCAGAAAACCCAAACCCAAAACCAAACACGAATCCTAATCGATAGGAAATGATTCTATATCTCAGTGTCTGGCGGCGGATGTAGGGAGCCGCTGAAATCTGGCCTCAAGTCTCAGCTAAAGCGAGCAAAAGGCGTACGAGTATTCCCTTTAATTTAGTGCCAATGAAATTCATCAAATATTTGGCATTCGAAAGGAGGAACATCCGTGTAAACATGCGGACATGACAGCCACTGAGGAAATCGTAATACAAAAACAAAGCCAAACAAAATCTTGAGGAAATCTTTTCTAATTGTGGCAATTTAGTCAAGTTGCCAGCCTCCCCGATTGCCAATGCTCCTTCCTTCTCTGCCGCAACACTATCCCACCTTTGGGCTGCATGGAGCTTGGAGCTTCTCTGCCAGGTGTGTGCCAATGTCTAAGGTTAGCCATAAGATCATTCTGTATTTTTATATTCGCCGAAAGATGCGGACGCCTCTCCATGGCCCATCCCATCCCATCCATCTGTCTGTCCAACTATTTGTTTGTTTGTCCGTCTGACTATTTTTATATTCGTGGGCCTCCAGCATACGGCAAACGGCATATGCGGACCCAGCCACGCTTTCTGTTTATTGAAGACAAAACCGTTTTTATTGTTTTAAAAATTATTTTCGGCACCCCATGAACATGAACATGAGCATGAAGATGAGGATGAGGATGAACACACCTACCTTCCCGTGCAAATACTCCTAGGAAGTGGGGCAGTCGTCATCAATTTCCATTTGAAGGCTGTCTGCCGTCGATCAAAGTGAAAAGTCAAAGACTGTGCGCACACATAAGAACATAGGGGGAAAATCACAGAAATCTCTCCAGGAAACCCAAGCGGAAATGTATATTCGCACAGGGCCCGGACTCTATCAAAAACAGATGGAGAACCAGTTCCATGGATCGCTTAGGAAGAGGTCGCTTAAATTCTGGTCTTGGGTCTGGTTACAGGGGACTCCTCCACAAAGGAGAACTTCGGCTTCGCTTTCCCTCTGACCCGTGGCGTTGCTGTTGAGTGAGGACTTTGTAGCGAGGTTTATTTTTAGCATAAAAACGTTTTTGCAAGCATTAATTACGCATTCATGGCACGTTCACGGCGCGTTCTGAGCGTAAATCAAATTAAAAGTTTGCCCCTTGGCCTGCACCACGTTCCAGTCAGCACTTTGCCCCGATTCCGGATCTCCTCCTACTCCTCCTTTGCCTCTGCCATACGTAACAAAGCAAGTTCAACTGTTTAGTCGCCCAATTAACAACAATTAAATCCAGCAAAAAACAAATCCAAAAGAGAATGAACTGTCTGAATCATTTGGTGCTCCCCGCTCTGGCTATCTCCGTTTGAAGTGGGGGCCAAGTGGACCATTTCTCATGGTCAGCCCCATGGAAAACTAAAAGCAAACAAAAGCAAATTGAGCGAAATGTTTGCCCCCCACTCAAGGCCATCCAATTGCAGAGGTCCATATGTACATATGTTGGTATGTACGAATATGTATCTCTGGTGGGGGCTGGAACTTTGTTACCTCTTCGAGAAGGGAATTCCACAATAGTTGATGGATAGACTTCCTCTGAACAATCTCCATAGCAATTCGTCAGTCTTTGATCCTATAAGTTTAATTTTTATTCCATCAACTTCATTATTTCTATTTCTATAGTGGTAGACGCCACTGAAGTTCCATTTTGCGAAGATTGAAAGTTTGTATACGAAACTTGTAGCGGAACCCACGCGCAAATCTCATTTGTATTTAATTTTGTCATTTTTCCATTTGGAAGCGATTGGCCGTCATACAGTGTGCACTTGATCCTCGTAAAGACAGGACGTGACATTACATGCCGGGCTCACAAAAGAGATGGGATGGTGCCACGCCGCCTCACAGGGTGCCGGATTCCGAGGATGAGTGGAAAATGCATGGCGTCGGATGCAGACAATAAATTTGATTCAATTGCTGTCAAGTGGACTGCAGGAGGCAGTCGGAGATGGAGATGGAGACGGCGAGTGAAAGCTATGCGTTGGGCTCCGTCCATTCTTGTTCAAAAATAGTTGTCATGTTCCTTTGTCAGAGCAGCTCCCAGTCGCCGTCGCCGTCGCCGTCTCTGTTGCCGTTGCCGTTGCCGTTGCCATTTCCATCGGGTCTTTATGTGTCTCCGAGTCCGCGTCGCCCTTCACCGCTTTTGCGGCAGCTGATTGTGCATGACCAGTATTTGATAAAGGAGCTCAATACACACACACACACACACTGGTTTACGTGTACGTGTAGTTGCATCTCTGGCTAAAGAACTGAAGCGAAATAACAATGACAGAGAGCTTTTCTTCGCTTTGGTCTCCTTCTTTGTGCCATGTCACTTTCCCCACTCCGACTCCCTTTTCCTTTTGGAACTGACAGGCGGAAGTGGGCCGCACAAAGCGAGAAGCGATAGGAGCCGACGCGACGCTTAAGAAACGTTTCCAGTGCGATGAGCGAGAGGAGGCGGCATGGTCGCCACTTCTGTCAGAGTGAGGGAAAAATACAATTGCATTTTATTCCGGTGCCACGCCCACACCGAAGTCGATGCACACTTTTAATTGCTCCGGGATCCAGTTGTGTCCTGTCCCTGTCCCTGTCTCGCTGCCTGTTGGGACATTTGCTGGCTGGGTCATCGACGATGTGGGTGTGGGGTGTGGGGCGTGGGCGTGCTAAGCTGACACTTTATGACAGAGTTTAAGCCGTAGCTTACCACAGGCTGTCTGCTCTGTCCAAGCCCAGTGCCGCATGCAACATGCCCTAAACCCCCAGTTGGCCTGTAACCACATTTCATGCACCCAAAAATGAAAGCCAGCAAGCTGGTTTTTTCTTAAACAAAGAATTGTACACTGAGCTCAGCTCTTTACACACAAAATTAATTGATTTAAACTGATATTTGTTCTTGATTATTTATTGGCAACGTGCTTCGAGTATAATTAATATTTTATATTGACTACATTAATATTTAATTGAATATTTGTGCAGATTTTTTGTGTTAAGCAGTTAAGGATTATGCGATTCAAACACAATTCAAACAGTTATTGGAGATAATTTAATGTCAGTATTTAATTCATAATTTAAATAAGTTCTTGTTCAAAAATAGTTGTCTTGTTCCTTTGTCAGAGCAGCTCCCAGTCGCCGCCGCCTTTTGATATGTATATTAATTGGATTTAATTGTATGTTAATTTATTGATAAAACGGACAAGAGCAAGCGGTTTAATTTACGGCATCGCGTATCTTATTCGACTTATTGGTGTACGAGGGAGCTCTTCCGTATACTCTTGATAAGATGAACTCGGAAACTGTCACCCCTTCGCGCCAAAAGTCTTGCTTGGATACGACATCATATGTAGAAGATGGAACTCCCAGCTTATAGTTGACAAACTTCAAATGGGAAGTGTTCGCATCCTTCCTGATAAGTTTATTGCAACATAACTCTTTGGGCGACATGTTCAACTTCTCGGCGACATAGTTTAGCAACGCTTTCTCCGTCGTTAAAGTTGAGAGTCGACCGACATGGAGATATCTTCTTTTGTCCCCTGCTGATGTTGAGGGCGTCTTATTTGTCGTTTCGAGGAACAACGCAAAAGGTGCCCGATTTTCGTAATCTCTAGGCACACAGTATTAAGACTACGGACTGTTGTGTATAGATCGGCCACTTTCTTGGGCATATATCGGGAAAATTGCATCCTGGATGACATGGGTTGACGCATGATTCTTTTGAAGATTCCTGGCTGCATGCTGACAAGATTCGGTTTTCGTTTCCAGCGAAAGGGGAAAACAATAGAGAATAGCCATGGCAACTTCTTCCAGGTACTGGCGGTGTACGCGGAAGCTCACACACGATTGTCTACTTGAATTTTTGCATGAAAACTCTGATTTTCTGTTCGACAAACAAAATCATGCATGATAACAACAATTCAAATAAAATAAAATAAATTTGTATTCAAATATAATTTTTTTTCGTTTATCAATATGCATAGGTACATATTCTTTTTTTGTCTGCATAATCCACTCCATGAACACACAGAAACTGAACTGAAAAGGCAATTGAGCTGGTGCTGGGTACAAACAATTTATTGATGCGCCTTCTGTGTCCTGTTTGACAGCAATGGATTTGCAATCATTCATACAATTCCTCTCGAATGCTCTTTAATCATTTAAAATTGAAAAAGAGCACTCGTCGACGGGGGATTTTCTTTGTTAACTGTTGGTAATACTTCCAATAATTGGTTGAATTGGCTGAATGAAGTGTTGATAAGTATAAGAGGCCTTCTCCAGAAGCTACTCAGAGGAATGAATCCATTCATATAAGCAAAAATCATTATTCAGTACAAAAAATTCGAGTTTTCGTTCGATTAATATTCATGGAAATCTGCACCAATATTTTCCCGATTAATATTCATGCACTCTCGTGTTTGGCGGATATGAATGGATAGTGTGGGGACAAACACATGAAATCATAAATCTCGTTTTAACAACTAATTACATTTCAAGGGGTTTGGTTTTAAAACAAACAAGAAAAATGTGTTATTGATGCGCTGGGATAAAATGATTTCCCTTTTTTTGTTGGTCAGCCATCAGTGAGGAGGAGGGAGTACCCATTAAACAGAGGGAAACCACAAGGCCAAAGGCCATAAAAAATCACAATATGCTGCTGTTTTATTTGATTTACTTTTATTATTGCCATGCCACTCAGAGACAGGAGGAAGCATCCCTCCTCAAGTATAATGATTTGGCGAGCAAATTTTGAGCATAAAAAGAAAGGAAAATGGCTCTGCGTTGGACATTTATGTGCTAGATTTTATGGCAATTTTGTTTCGGCTAAAACAATGAGAGCAGCAAGCCATATAAATGTATCATCGCACACATACATACTCGCGGTTATATTCAATCTAATAAAAGGACACACTGAATCGGAGCTGGAGCTGGAGCAGGAGCTGAAGCTGGAGCTGGATCTGATGCCCATTGAATGCGATTTAAATGGCCAGAAGTAAAAAGAAAAGAAACCAGCGGTCGCATAATCTAATAATATTTTATGTGAAGAGCATAAAAATCACAGCACGCCACTTGAGAGTCCGTTGAACTTGGACTCTCTGTCTCTGTCGGAATGACTCTCCACCACCATTCGCTCTCTAAGTAGCCAGCAACGGATGGATGGATGAAATGAAATGAAAGCAAAGAACATATCCATTGACCAACAAAGACAGCAAATATCCATGGCAATTTATTGAAGTTCTCTTGTCGTTGTCCAAGGACCATTAAGAGCAGAAAGCGAGTCACATTCGAGGGAGATTTTATGTTGATGACTTCAGAAAAAAAGGCACACACCCATTGCCCCTCCATTAACAAGGAAATTAACATTCTGATTGCGTATACGCCATGTAAGCTGTGTGCAATTTATTCTTGACTCTGTGGGGTACACAGAAGTAGTTGCGACTGAGTGTGCCCAGGAAACGCTTGGGAACTATTAGAAACATAGCAGGTTGCATACAAATTAAACACTTTCCTTTTATTTTTCGATTTTGGAACTAAAAACTTTCCTTGAAATAGTATTTTTCCTTGTGTCGGCATGTAACAGGTATCTGATGGTCGAAATGTGTACACTCACTCTGGGTTTCATACATTTATCCATTGGTATTTTCATTTGGATTTTCATTTGCATTTTCATTAGTTTATTATCCAAGCATTGTAAAAACTTTTAACGTGCTCCAGGCATAAATGCCAAATGAGCTGTGAATAATGGGGCATGGGGGCGGGCGTAAGGAATGCCGCGGCAGAGCCTAGGGATGGGGAAACTACTGTATAGATATCGAGTATCTGTTAACAGTTCTATTCGAAGATGCAATCACTGCGAAATCGCTAGTGAATTATGACTTTTATGGGTGGTTTTTGTGCAGAAATGTTACGCTTGCAGCAAGCAAAAGTGGAGCTGTGAGAGAATAAAATGATAAGCCAGTCCAATCAGTTGATTATAGCAATCTAAAAATATAACAGCAAGAGCGGCAGACAAAAGCTTTTGCAGCTAAGATTCCATGCGAAATGCATAAATAAAAACGTCAAATGGCAGGAGAGTAAAAATAAACGCTCCGCAAATTGGGAAGGCCCAAAAAAACAAAAGGCAAATGCCAACAAATACATATTGTAGATATGTACATCTGCATATATCAAATACGATTCCCGTCCGTTCCACCTCTGTTATTTCTGTCCATCACTTTATTCTATTCCTGTTCCTGTACCTCTACCTCTACCTTACACCTATGCACATACATATATGTAGATTTCTACCTACGAGTATATCCATTTTTCTGTCCATAAGTGCTCATGCGTGGGCGTTTGATTGTTCTACATGTGGATTTGCTACAAAATCCCATCAAATGGTGGACGACAAGCGACATGCGCCAATTTTCTGACGTCACAATTATGACAGAGCTGGAGGATGGGTGCGTGAAATGTGTCGCGGGGGCAGATCAAGCCAAAACATCATAATTATTATGATAATCATGATGAAGCTGCCGCTCTAACAAATGATGATTATGAAAATGATGACGATGATAATGGGGCTAAATAGTGACGTGTCATCTGTGCCAAATGACACACCCCCACACACACAGAGAGAGAGGCAAACTGCGAGGAAACTAAAACTGGACAATGGACATTTCAGTTTATATGCGGCACAGTGGGCCAATAGCATCAAATTATTGTACTCGCTCCCGGATTGGAAATTCCTTTCACATTTTCGAATATAATTCATCCAATTATCATCCATTTATTGACATATATTTACATTCTGGCATGTACTTTTGGGGCACTGTGTGACAAGGCTTCCATGTTGTGGCTGAAACCAACAGTTCGCGGATGTTGCCAAGCGAAAGGGTGGAAGTGCGGAAAGAGCGGTGTGGAGCTGTGGTTTGCGGGGAAGATAACATTTTTCAGCAATTTAGTTTTCAACGCACACAAAACGTATTGATTCTACCGATTCCCTGTTTCCCACAGGCACGTACGCAGTCAAAGCGAGCGACGTGACCACACCACACCTACACTCAGCCACACCACTATCACACCCATAACAGAGTAGCCATGTGAGACTGTTTGATATAAACGACCATGTCTGTATGTGTGTATGGAAATATAGTTTTGAATGTAAATGCAAAATTCGTAATGCAAGTTGCATTTAATTATGCGTGCTCCGGCTGATTGCTGGGGGGACATTTTTATGATAGAAACTACAATTTGTCATCACTTGTTATTTGTTCGCATACTTTCAGGCAACATGAACATTGGCGTCGCACCAACCAAATGGGATAAATTGTCGCCGCGCGAGTTCCTGCAGCTGCAGGAGTTAGCCTCATGTAAGTGCCAGCCAGCCAATCAAATTGAACATGTGACATTCATTCATCATCCTTCCATGCATACAACTACGACACAATACCAATTAAAATGTATTTCCTTTCGGCGAAACATCCTCCCATCAGTGCACATCCCGTTGGTGTTGCTCCGATTTTTAATTGGAATTAATTTATTTCGCGGCTGCCAATCAGCAGATCTCTTTGGCAGTAATTGCCTTGATTTCATGCCATTTTCTATCAGCAATGATACTCGAAAAGAGTCCGAGGCAGCAATGCATTTTCATAGCACAGGAGAAAGCATCTCTGACTCCACACAGTGTATCCTATACCTGCTGGATGTTACGTTCTCAGTCGTATAAGTATATTTTCTGTTGCTCATTCTGGTACATACTTTTCCACTCTCATCCGCATTCCTCATTCAGCTCACTGAGTTATGGCTGTCACTGTTTGATGCCCGCTCGAAAGAACTGCGCCAGAGCTGTTTGACATGGCAAAAGTGGTTTACCTGTGGGGCTGCGCTTTCCCAATTGCTGTCCGTCTGGGGGAATTAAACGAAATGGCAAAGGGGAGCGTTGAGCTTATAGATTATAGAATATTACACAAATAGCACAGTGGTAGGGGAGGCAGAGAGAGAGAGAGTAAGGGCTTGTTGGGGTTCTGGGAAAGGCATTGTTGGTTCGTGTGCTGTTTGCTTGCAATCTCTTAGTAATAGTAGTCCTGGCTCACCAAGGTAATCCCTGCCAGCTGCAGGAAGCTCCGTCAGAGCACGACCACTGACAGTAATAAGCATCTTGGAAAAACCCATTTCGAGGAAAAGCCGATAGGGGATGCCACGTGCAAGTGCGAGTGGGCGTTGCCATACGCGACGGGGCTATAGCTGCAGGTGAACATTGGGTGCACTTTGGTGTGCGGTCCCAAGAGCGTGGGGCAGGTGCAGCCCATCAAAAGTGTCAGCAGCAGCAGCAGGGATCAAGCAGCTGGAAGGCCGGTGAGTGGTGTTCTCTGGTGCAGACACATTTGCGGCTATCCGCAACACAACTCGCTCTCTCATTAAGTTAATAAAACCCAGAGTGCAAAATTTGGGGCGCCCCGGCGTGTGCTGCGGCCTCTCAGGCAACTCAAACGCATTCCACCGCCCAACCTCATGCACACACACACACACAACCGTACTGCTCCCACAACCCACCTTGTTTTCCATTAGTTAATTATACTTGCCCCGCGCTACAACCCCTTCTGTCCCCCCAATGGAAAGCAACCCAGCCCACTTAAGACGTCGATTCCACTGGCGCCAGTTGACCAATTGACGTTAGTCTATGTGGCCATGGAACGTGTCACTTGCCACTCGCTCAGTTGCACAGTTGCACTCGAGCAGGGACTGCTGAGCGACTGAGCGACTGAGCGACTGAGCGACTAAAACTTTGCATAATCCTTGGCTTACACTTTACACAATTATCTCTTGTTTTTGTTTCTCTTGCAGATTCCACACGCAAGCTGCAGGATGTGCTCCGAGAGTTTTGCTCACCCAGTGGGCCCTCGGCCACGCCCAAATGCATACCGGATGGGGTAAGTGGCATGGCCCAAAACTGAAATTAATTCAACACCGACGATATAATCCCCCGTCCCTGAGCAGTTACTCCAGCAACCCACGGATGGGGGGCACTAAGAACGATGAAAGGCGAATCAACTAGGGCACACACACGCACAGAGAGACAGAAAGACAGACTGACAAGGAGCATATATGTAGGGGATTTGGAATGGTTCTTCGACAGGCACACACACGGACACAAGGCAGGGGGCTGGCAGAGTGAAAGATTGAAAGTAAATCTCCCTATACGTACAATAAATCACAGAGTTTTCAAGTTTACGGCTGAATGCCGACAGGAAATTGAATCCCAACTGAGCCGGACTAAAGTTCCAACCTGCACAAGGACCACCTGTGACTGACTGAATACCCAAAAGGTTTTGTGCATAGCAAATTAATTTGAAAATGCATGCAAGTCCATCAATTTGTAGAGGGGTTTTGTAGCAAGAGAACAAGACAGACATTTTCCATTGTAATTTTATCTGGCAAGCAGAAGGCGTAGGATATTTGATATCCTTATGATGTACAAAACCATGAAAAGAGTTGCAACTTTGAATCTAAAACAAAAATCTGCAGAATCAGATTTGTTTCGTTTGAAATATCCCACAAACTCTGGTTATTCCTGCTGCTCTGATATATCGTTTCCCTCTCGTTTTTTTCTCGTTTCAAAGCGTAACGAATTGGAAAAAGCATAATTAAGTTTTTATCTCGCTGTAAGCTCCTGTCCGATCCACATCGAATGCTGCCACTGAAGCGGAAGGAATAGTTTTGCTTAGCACTTCCATCCCATTCACTTCACATTGCTTCTGTGCATGTACTCTCATCGCTCACGGTTTGTTCTTTCGCTCAGCTCTTGAATTTTCCTAAGCGAGTGTAATTCCTGTAAATATTTCAGCGAAATGAAATGAATTGAGTACTTCATTGGGGGATGGGTAAATCAGCTTAGTAGAATGTGTTCCAGTTTTTTCACCCTCAGCCTTGGGCTTTGGTCAAAGTCAAAGTCGGTGGGGTTGGGTTTCAATTTAGTTAATTAAGAGCAGGTTTCAGGTTGGAGCGATTGCTCTTGCACTTTGTCATTAGTTCTTCTGCTATAAGAATGGGGAACTTCTTTCCATGTCGTGCCCCATGGGTCGTTTACATCATTTATGCTCGAAAGTGTGCAATGCATAATGAATGCAGAGCACAGATTAGATTCTCACAGCTCTGCCATCATACATGGAGTTGAGTGCCAAATGGCCTGAACCGAACATCTCTCTCACACACATACACGTGGTGTGCTCGTGTGTGTGTGTGTATGTGTGATTAGGGAATGTAATGAATATCACGCATACGCAGCGCATACGCACCGAACGCCCAAAATGGTCTTGAATATTTATTCATTAGGCCACGCGCTCAAGCATAGCGACGACACACAGTCGCATCCATGGAGATAGCAGCGGTGGGAATAGAAAGCGTGGGAAGGGCGAACGAGAGGTAGAGAGAGAGACAGTGTGTGAGTGGAAGACAGAGACGAGCCCTGTTTGCTGGCTATATAAATTTTTTGCCAACGCCATTCGCGCCATTATTATAGTGCTTGTATGTGAGGAGTGTTGTAATTTATGTGCATCTGTGTGCGTGCCATGTGAACACTCGTACACATGTACACATATACGTATGTATGTATGCTTGTAGTACATTATGGCGATGTAACTTCACTTGCGCATGTTGTACCCAGTTGAGGTCGACTGCCTTTGGACCTATTCTGGCTATTGCCAGCAGCCAGTGCTGGTTGCTTCTGCTGTATCTCGACAGCGACACGAGTATAAATTTACATTTTCTTGTATTTTGGCTCATTATGGCCACGCACAAAAGCAGCAGCAGGACAACAGAGTGCCAGAGTAAACCCTAAACCTCGACACCCGCTTGCTGTCGGCCTTCGTTGCTGCTCTTTTATGTTGCGAAATTTAAAACGATGAAAATTCGAAGCTGGAGGGGTATATATTCGTGATAAAGAGGGGAAATATTTCAACTGCTGCTGCTGCTGTCTATCCCCTAACCGGATTATATTATTACGCAATTAATTCCATTGTCTGTGGATCTTGATTAGCTGCTGTTCCCCGGAACACACTCTAAACTGTAAAATCCGGCAAGCGGTTCCTTTGTGCGTGTGCAATCTGCTAATGAAATGTCTATCAATGTCAGTGCCAGTTTGCGTCTATCAATGTCATCCCTGTATTCAAGCACTGTATCGCCGCCCTGTCCATCGCGACGCAGCTGTCAATGTATTGACATTACACGTGGTGTTGACACGTAATTTGCCCCAATACCCATCCACATTTGGGCAGGTTCCGTTCTGCATTCATAAAAACTTGCCCCATGCCCAGAGGTATCACTCCTCACCCTTCCCAACCGCCTGGCAAATGGCAACGAAGAGGCGACAGATCCTTCGGGGACATTCCCCGGCACGTACAGCCACCGCCGACAGACCGAGCTTGGATTTATGGGAACTTTTCTTTTTGTAAATGTAAATAAAACGGTTGCCCAAGAATTATGGATTCCAAGTGCATAAATTGGGACATTTTTTGAACACATTCGTAGGGAGAAATTACGTCCCAAATTAAAGATTATAGGTGGAATCAAAGGAACGTTAATCGAGTCGTAATTGACATTAAATTTCATCCAGTGAGCAGAAGAGGAATTAATACTTTTCTATATTAGAGTAGATTCTTTAGTGATTGAGTCAGGAAGGGGAATATTAATCACTCGCTCCGTTACCAGCAAAAGCCATGCGCTACTGCGACTCCTTCTTGACGTCCTCCTCCTCCTCCTCTTGACAATAAAACAAGATGAGAAATGGGAGGCTTTCATGGGAGCCAACTGCAAAATGTTTCTCGCCTTAACAGCGTCAACATATTATGTTGCATAAGCAGCCCGTACTCCTCCTCCTCCTCTAGTCAGCACAATTTCAACCCGATACCGCTCGTAAAACTTGGCTAAAAGAAGATGCTGGCAAACATTTGCCAGCGAGCGAGAAGAACTATCCCCGAGTGGAGGGTTTTGCACACACTTTAGCTTGTCACTTGTGAATGGCTTGGCGAAGATATGTATATACACACACACACCGATACACATATATGTGTGGGATAATGGGTGGGGAAAAACTCTCTCCTAGAATTTCGAGTAATCGTGTACTCAAATGGCTGATTAAAGCTGCCCAAAACGGAGCGGGGGAGAGCGTGGGATTTAGCTTGGAACCGCCATAAATCATTGGATGAGCCAAACTTTATTTTCAAACTCTTTTGCAGGACATTGATTTCGATGGGTTCCGTCGCTTCCTGGACGCATTCCTCGACTGTGAGGCACCGCTGGACCTGGCCAAGCATTTGTTTGTTTCCTTCCTCAAGCCGACTGTCACCCAGGCCCAGCTGCACGGGAAGGCCCTCAATCAAATGGCCGCCATCAGCAGTACGGCTGCCTGTGCACCCGTCACGTCCCACACGAAGGGTAAGAGCAGGTCCAATCCCCCACACATCCGCATTCCCCATTGTCACATCCATTCCCACACACATACCCTAGCCCATTCCCCATGTCATCTTCAGTCTCATGTGTGTCTGTGAATAATTGCGCAACATTTCTCTCGGCTTGCCATCTTCCCGTCTGCTGGCATATCCTGGTCGTAATTAGGCTCCATTCCGAACATCAATAGCATTGCGGAGCTGATGCCGCAGTGCAGCGGCGGGCCAGGAGGAAGTGGCGGCGTTGGAGGCGAAATGCAGACACCAGCACGCATCAGCTTCGTGGATAAAATCCACGGCATCACGGACAAATTACAGCACTCGCTGGGCGGACATCTATCGCACGATCCCAGCAAGACGGGTGAGTAGAGGGGTCCACTTACATGAGTGAGTCGTTGACTGTCCGTTCTGTCGACTCTTCCAAACAGGCAGCGTTCATCCGATGCTGACGGTGACGCCCAGCCCCTTGGCCAGCGGGCCCAGCATGTTCCAGGCGAGCAATCCCTCACGCCGCTCCGTGGACTCAAGTCCCTCGCACTCCCAGACGAACCACTCGCAGATGTCGCGCAATTCCTCGAAGAAAAGCAGCAATTCAGTTAATTGCAAAATTGATAGTGAGTATTAATTAGCTTACCCTGCGACATTTTGATTACCAGGTGCAGGCGGTCGGCGATGAGTGCCGCTCTCCCAATTAGGACGCTCATTGTGCAATCAGCATGTCAAGTGATGTGTGAATGCAATGCCAACTCTCTGCTTCTTGATTGCCTGAATTAAAGTGCAGAGTTATTGGTCAGCCATGGGACAGACAGTTGCTGCAGTCACGTTGATGTACGTTTGCTTAGTTAACTTTTTCGTGGAACTTGCTAATTAGGGGACCCTAAGAGCTGGCAGAAGGAAGCCAGCGCATGCTTTTCGCTAATTCAGGAGTTCATAAATTATGGAGAAGGGGGCAGGCTGAGCACAGAACAGAGTGCACAGAACTTGGCGGAAGTCAGACCCTCATCCGGCTTTAGCTTCACCCCCCTGCAATACAATGTGAAACCAAGGAGAACTTCTCTTGTCTCAGGGATCGTGTCGTAAATCAACGCCCAATTAGAAACATTTTTGCATTTCACGAACTCGGGCGCTGGAGCGACTCGTAAAATGAGAGACGCGCTGCCTGCGTTAAATTAACATTTATTGCGAGACACACATACACTCAAGCAACGTACACACATACAGAGCCACAGGGCTCTTCTGCGGGCTCTGCGCGCAATTGCGACCTGAAAGTATGCAGCGGCTTTTCGTTTTTCTGTTGGTATTTTCATATCCTTGCTGCGGAGGGCTAACTTGACTTTAACCACATGAAGGAAGCAAAGCCAATGCACTTATGTATGAGTATTTACGGTATGTATCGACACAGATGTCAGGCTCCAAGATCTTTAGCTTTTCGGTTTAATGTTTCCATTGAAAAATAAAATAAAGGAAACAGGAATATTTGCTTACAATTAAAATGGTTCATATATCTGCCCTTGAAATGCTAGGTCTACAAGTGTATCTTCGACTTCGGTCTCCAAACTCTGGGCCTCCTCTTTACTTGTTCCGTTTGGGGTGTCTGGCCTCGTTTTGTTTCCCTTTTCTTTTCGGTTTCATTCATTTCGCTTCGTTTGAAATGTGCACAAGAATGATTAATGAACGTAAATTTTATTTTTTTTCTCTCTGTTGCCTCTTCTCTTTTTTCTTTTTGTCCTCTTTGTCGCTGCTAGCCAACAGTTTCACGCATTTTTCCGAGCATTTTGGCTGGCATTGTCCGGGGCCGACAGGCAGGCAAACGCCTGCCCCAAAATAAGTGGAGCAGCGGCAGGAATTTCCTATTAGCATTATATATTAAGTACAACTTGGGCTTCACTGTGTCCTTGTGGGTTAGCCTAAAGCGCTAATTGGATTAGTTTTTGGTTTGCTTTTTGTTCTGTCAATGTGTTTGCTCTGGCCGTATCTGTGTGCAAGGGAATTAAATTTATTAGTTCGAATGTATGCCAGCAAATAAGTTGACATTGATCCTGCCACTCGTTCTGGCCAAGAGAAAATTGTCGGGTCTCATTTAGTTATTAATATCAAAGACAAATATTAACATTGCTGCTGCTGCTCTGTGTCTGTGTATGTGGGGGGTGCAAATATTTTAATTTATTGCCAACAAACGTTTCGCCATTAGGCAAACATAATTAGCCAAAGATACTCACTCGGATCTGCTTGGTGTGTTTGTCTAGCTTATGAGGAATTATGAAGCATTTGTACGTCTTGCTGTTCCTCGGGCTTCCCTGCATTAGCAGTATCATATATATTACAACATCAACAACAGCAGCAGCAGCACCAGAGCACACACACACACACACACTCACAAATGGCCTGTCAAAAGCATAAAAGATGGAAGCCATTCATTTACACACACTCAAACAAAGGCCGAAAAAGAGCGGGAGAGAGCGGAAGAAAGAGCCTTCATTCCTTAAAGAATTTCCAAGTAATTTCCCCATTGACTTTTATAAAGTTTGAAATTATTAAGTCTTTAAAATCAATATTGAAATTTGATTAGAAAAAGAGTCAATTTGCGATAATGATGATGATGGAGAAAAAGAAACAAAGTTCAGAGAGCTTCGAAAAGTATTTGTTGCATGAGATGGGAAAACTTTTTGTATCCGCAGCTCAAAATATTAGGGCGAAACTTTCCGCATTATAAGTATTGCAAAACAAATTGAAGTTGGTTTGGAATCTGCTCTAAGATTTCATTAAGAGCTGGCCCATGGCCATTGCCATTGCCATTGCCATTACCATTGCCATTGGCATTGGCATTGCTATTCCCATTATTATTATCGCTAGGGTCAAGTGCTAGTAATTAACATTCGACATAATGAGGTTCGGCTTCAGCTTATTGTTAGCTGTCGAATTCTCAGGGGGCGAGACACAGTCCTGTGTGCAGGCACTCCATCACTTCGCGTTTAATGAATGCACTTTGCAGACACACTCATTCGACTCTCCACTTTTCTTTTTTGCAGCTGACATTAAGCTCTTGGCTCGAAAACTTTCCCATTTTGATCCGCTGACACTTAAGGTTGCGCTCAAGGATGTCGTCTGCTATTTATCACTGCTCGAAGCTGGACGGCCGGAGGACAAGCTGGAATGTGAGCAAGAGAGGACCTTGGTCCCTGGCGCCCTTTTGCCCCTGAAACTCATTTATTCATTGCATTTCGTTGCGTTTCATTTCAGTCATGTTCCGGCTGTACGATACGGACAGCAACGGCGTTCTGGACACTGCCGAAATGGACGCCATTGTCAATCAGATGATGGCCGTGGCCGAATACCTCGGCTGGGATGTCAGCGAGCTGCGGCCTGTAAGTTGACTCCCTCATTTACCCCAGACGTATTCCGATTCCCTGTCATCCGTTTCCTCCACTGTGCTGGACAGCCTTTTAAATCCGCTTTACATTAAAAATGCATTACCACAGTAACTGCAAATGCAACTGCAACTGAAAGTGCAATCAATGCACTGTAAGTCCACTTACTCGCACATCAACCACTCCCCTTGTCTATCCACCAATGCGATAAGCTCTTTTGTGGTCACGATTTCCAAACCCTACGCTACTCAATAAAACTTTTTCAATTACTTACCAACATATTCAGCTGCAACAGCAACAGAAACAAAGGCAACAAACAAACCCCTTCAAATTAATTTCGTTTTATTGTTGGACATTCAACTTTCTGTGTGTTGGCCCCCTGACTGGGTTTCCATTTCAACCGCAAATTTGCGGAGCTGCCACAACTGACAGCACATAGGCGACTTAATAGTTTTGCCCCCAAACAGTAACAGCAACAACATCAGCAAAGGGGCAAAACACGCTCTAAGCCGGGATACCCAGCAAAAACGTGAAGAAAAAAAAAAAAGAAAAACTGAGAGCTGCGACCGCAAATAAAGTCAAAGCGCCACAAAACTCAATTAACAAAAACTACCCCTGGCTATGCCCGAATGGTTCGCAGCACAATTCCCAGTTCCCAGTTCCCAGTTCCTATTCTCTATTCCCATTCCCCTACCATCGTTCCACTTGCTGTTGCCCTTCCTTTGGTTGAAGTTCCAGTCTTGTTTCCATCATGACTTCGCGTCTACTGGGCGGCTGCCGGGTGGCGGCATACTTTAAATTCTAAGCAGACACAGAAAATATTTTAATCAAAATATTTTTACCAGCGTCAGAAGTCGCCAGAAGTCGTGGATGCGATGAACTGAGCTGAGCCCTTTCTTTGCCCATTTCCTTGAGTCTGGGCCACAAAATAATCAAAGCACTTAATGAGTTGCATAATTCTGAAATTCATTTCCGGGCTGAATATGAAATTCCCCCAGAAACAGCAAAAATACAAGGCACTGGAATATATTTCTGTGTACAAGTTGGCCAGAATTTCCGCTTCCATCTTCCTCCAAAGAATATTTAATGATACAAAAGCAAGGAAATACACTCTACTGTGTATATACATTAGTCGATGAAGAAGATAAATTCGATGGGGAATCCTTCCCTTTGGCCTTGGAAGTGCATGCTCCAAGTAGAAGCTTTCCTTTCCTTTTCCTCTTTCCCACTTTGTGTGTTTTTATATATATATTTTATTTAAAAATTAGCTTCTCCAACATCCACTTGAAGAGTCACTGCAATCCGGAACAATCTACTTAGTTTTCTCTACTTACAGATACTGCAAGATATGATGGTTGAAATTGACTACGATGCCGATGGCACAGTTTCCCTGGATGAGTGGCAGCGCGGTGGCATGACAACCATTCCACTCCTTGTGCTCTTAGGTGGGTAATCTGCCAGTTGCTACTCCCAAGAGTAGTCCTCCTCCTCTTGCTCCTCCTCCTCCGGCTAAATGGCATCTGGCCTGATCTGTGACTGGTTGGCTGCTGCCGTAATAATCAAGTCATTTGCAGAGCTGCCAGGACTCACAGACACAAAAAAAGAGAGAAGATAAAAACCATTCTCTGCCACTCGTCTGCCTCCTACTCCGTTGCATGCTCATGCAAAGTGACAACATTTCCATCTCTACATCTCCCTCTCTCTCTCTCTTTCTCTGTCTCTCTTTCCGTTGCAGGTGTCGACAGCACCACACTCAAGGAGGATGGCATCCACGTGTGGCGCTTGAAGCACTTCAGCAAACCGGCTTACTGCAACCTGTGCCTCAACATGCTGGTGGGCCTGGGCAAGAAAGGTCTCTGCTGTGTGTGTAAGTATGCCTCATCCTGTCTCATCCCTGCCTCCCTCCCACACTGCACACTCCAGTGCTGAATCTGCCAACAGGAAATTGTCTACTCTCGTGCAAAATCTCCATCGACAACATACCTGGGTTGGCTCCCCATCTGATGGCTTGTTAATTTCAAATGGCACTCAGACATTTAAGGTTCAGAGACAGTTTTGCATCCATTTCATTAAGATTCAGGTCCGTCCGAAAGTCCGCGACTGTCCTTTTATCTATGTGGCAACAACAGATAAATGAATGAATCTTGGACTACTTCTTCATGGGAACTTCATCGTCCGAGATCGAGTATTAGGAGGAAAAACCTTCACAATCCTGACACACACACGCATGGATCAGCTTTGACTTTTGCATCATCTTTAATGGAATATCTTTGCCCTCTTCTCCAACAGTATGCAAGTACACGGTGCACGAGCGATGCGTGCAACATGCCCCAGCTTCCTGCATCAATACATATGTCAAGTCGAAAAAGCCCAAGTGCGGCGGTGACCTGCTCCATCATTGGGTGGAGGGCAACTGCTATGGACGCTGTTCAAAATGCCGCAAGCGAATTAAGGCCTATCACGGCATCACAGGCCTCACCTGCCGCTGGTGCCACATGATGGTGAGTACGAGTATTGCATTTGCTCTCAGTGTTCCCTTTGACTCTTTGTCTGAGACTAAAACTAATCGCATTTTGTGTAGAAGTAAATCAGGGCCAAACGAGTTACAGCACGAGAGTGAGTGCCTCTGCACTGTTTTTAGCATTCCGGCAATGTAAAAACTGGAAATTCCAATTATTTCGATCAACAAGGCAGTCTTTGCCACAGCACTTTGTCATTTCTTTATGGTAGCAGTGATTCGAGCTGGGAGCAGGAGCCAGAAACGTACAACTTCCCGTATCTAAAGCCAGAACCACAACCAGAGCGCCACACATGAGCCGGCTGCTTCGTTATGGTTGGCAAATTGTCACGTCTCTGGCAAATTGTTCTGCAGCTCCTGCTGCATGCCACACGCTCCATGGTTGCCGTGAACTACCACCAACTATGTTTTGTGTCTTTGACATGTGCAGCGGAGAAAATGCAGAATTTGTTGGTGCCCAAACGAATGCCAGGAAACTTGCTCCTCCTCGGTGGAAGTTGCTGCTGCTGCTGCTGCTGCAACTGCAAATTCTTTGTAAGCCAAACAGTCGCCAAACCTCTTGACAGTCAATATCCAAGAATGTTATAAGGGACTCTGGAGTGGAGATTGCACATACAGACAGACGTGTCATGTGCTGCTCAAAGTCTTTACAAGTTTTTCCACAATTTAGTGCAAATGCATGGCCCTTTGAGTTTTTGGTTTGCTGGAGAAACTTTCAATGGAAGTTCCAAATCCCATCTACTGAATGGATGATTCGATTGAATCGAAATGAATAACTCGTACTAATTCATTGGAAAAAGGCCCTTGAATGCAGAAGGACATTAACGAAAAAGGCAACTCCAAAATTGCTGCCAGAAAATTGGCATTTAAATGGAAATCCGCGCTGAATGTGATTCGGGGCCGAAATTAAGCATTTTTTTCGTTGGTTCTCGCGCTAACAAACTTTTAATCGGATTCATTAGTGGAAAATGAACACTTAAGAGCAGCCACACTCCACTCAAGCCGCGCGCCTGGCCAGCAATGAAGTGGAAATTGAATTTAAGAGCTTACCATTTCTCGTCCCTTCTTTGCTCTGGGATTTTTACGCCATTTTCAGGCTATTTTTCACTTTGGCTAATTTGATTTTTGTTCATCCTCCGTGTCTCACTCTCTCTATGACAGCTCCACAACCGCTGCGCCTCGTCGGTGAAGAAGGAATGCACACTGGGGGAGAATGCGGAGCTGGTGGTGCCGCCCACGGCCATCTGTCCGGCTGTTCTTGATCGTCAGCGCTCGGTTAATCAAGCGAACAAGGTAAGAGGATTGCATGTCCAAGGATAAACCATGAGAAATCATTTGCCTGTCATTGAAATCCCAACAAATTGGCTACTAATAATCCATAACCCATCCAAAATGTTGCATTCCCCACCCTCTAAAATTGCCACATAATTGATTGGAACTGCTGCTTCGTGTCCATGTCCATTCCGTTGCCTTGTGTTGCCTTTATAAATTGCAAATCGTAACCAGAAATCCCAAATGCATCATCACCAGGCGACGCATTTCCAAATCACGCCTCCGGATGAGCTGAGCTGCCCGCTGCTGGTGTTTGTCAATCCGAAGAGCGGCGGTCGCCAGGGGGATCGCATCCTGCGGAAGTTCCAGTACATGCTCAATCCTCGCCAGGTGTACGACCTGTCCAAGGGGGGACCCAAAGAGGGTGCGTAACCGTAACTTCCGGAAATGCGGATCCAATTTATGCTGATTTCTCTCGTTTGCCAGGCCTCACGCTCTTCAAGGATTTGCCCAACTTCAAGGTGATCTGCTGCGGCGGCGATGGCACCGTCGGCTGGGTGCTCGAGGCCATGGGTGAGTAGTGGAAGTCGTACCTCAGGTAGCTGGTTAATTACATGTCCTGCAGATTCCATCGAGCTGGCCACTCAACCCGCTATCGGGGTCATTCCGCTGGGCACGGGCAACGACCTGGCCCGCTGCCTGCGCTGGGGCGGTGGCTACGAGGGCGAGAACATACCCAAGCTAATGGAGAAGATCAAGCGTGCCTCCACCGTGATGCTGGATCGCTGGAGCATCGAGGTGACCAACACACCGGCAACGGATGAGCTTCGACCCAAGGTAAGCCGCATTCCGCAGCTCACATGGGGAAGGAACGGGAACGGGGGCGGAGCCAGAGAGAATCCAATTATTAACCACAAAGCGCTTACCACGCACACCTAACCGCAAGGATTCGATTGGCTTTTCCCATCCCCCGAAACGATTACGCAAACTAATTTCGTCCTCGGTGGAAGTGGGCGTGTAATGGGCGTGAGTCCTGCTCCTGCTGCTGCCCAAATGCTGATGCTGGCAGCTTTAAAAATGTGTTGTGGGTGTGTGTGTGTGTGGGGCAATTGGATGTCGTGTGTGTTGTGGCTGACTGCCGACTGGCGAATGCCAACTGAAGTTTTCCTTCCTTTCGTTATTCTTCGCAGGTGACGCTGCACTCCAACATGCAGAAGGTGATTGAGCTGTCGCAGAGTGTTGTGGTTGACAAATCGCTGATCGAACGCTTCGAGGAGATTCAGGAGATTCAACGGCAGAGCAGCAGCAGTAGCACTGGGAAGCAGTCAATGGCTGCCACTTCTGCCACATCGATTATGATGGCAACGGCGACCGAGTTCCGGCTGGAGGAGGAGGAGCAAAAGTACCTTCAGCAGGATGGAGCTGGGGACAGCAGCAACAACAACACCACCACCACCACAACGAAAACGACAACCACCAAGAGCATTTCAATGTCCACGTTCGAATCGAAACGCATGAGGACCACATTGAGGGGCACGCTGAGCAGCAGAAGCAGCAGCAGCAACACCAGCAGCGGTGGGAACAGTACTGGAAACACACAGCCACAGGCATCGATGGAGGGAGGCGAGTCGGATGGCGAGGTGGTGGTGTCGCCTGGGGCTGGAGATGCAGCTGGAGATGAAGCGGAAACCCAACAAGTACCAGCCAGAAGGACAGATGAAACAGAAAAGCAATCACTCGAGACGCTGCTGCTGCAACACAAGCGCCAACAGCAGCGACAGAAGCAACAACAGCTGGAGCTGGAGCTGCAGGAGCAACTTGAACAGGAATTGGCATCGGATGCTCGAGTGGAAGTTGCAACAGCAGCACCATCATTTGGGAATAATCAAAGCGATAATAACAGTCAGCGCAATAAGCAAAACAACATCCTTAAACAGCAAATTACATTGTCATTGGATTTGTCCGACCATGACAACGACAACGACAACGAGGAAGAGGAGGACAGAGACGAAGTTCAGCAGAAACCTAGCAACAACAATGGCAGAGCCAGAGTGGCACAGAGCCACAGCACACCGCAAACACCCCTCACACCCCTCACACCCATCACGCCAACAACACCAAATGCACCCTGCAGCATGCCACAGAAGCCCATCAAAGTTCAGTCGGACAAGGACTGCACAGTGCCGTATAATATAATCAACAATTATTTCTCCGTCGGTGTGGTAAGTTGCATATTGCGTTTTGTGTTTGTGTGAACTAGTTGCAGCCACAACTGCAGTACAATCCGAGACGCTACGAGTCCGATATCCAGCTCTGACTTGTGCCTACATCCTTGTCAGTGTCTAATGTGTGGGTCTCTGTTTGGGTCACATCTCAGCTGATTCGTCGAGCATTTCCAGGCACATTTTCTGTTTACATTGTCATTTTCCTGGCAACACACACATTTTACTAATTAGATTAGAACCCTCTGGTTTCAGGATCTATTGCATTTGAAACTCGATTGTGCAACTAGAACCAGAGTTACAGCTCTCTAATTAAGACCGGACATATGTAATTTGGTACAATAAAAGAATTCAGATTTAAGCATAAAACACACTCTGAATGGACTAGAAATTACGTACCACACGCTTCCTGAAATAAGGTTAACAGAAAATATACCGAAGGCTGCTGCTCAATAATTCATATAAATTGACTTAATCATTTATTCAGCATTGCGGCCAAGAGACCGCATATTTCCGGCTAAGCCGGTGCGACCTTCCGCTCCATCGATGTGGGGGGGAAAAATTGTGAAATCAAACCCAGGAGTTAAATGCCAGCAAATGAAACCATAAAGAAAAGCCAAAAGCTCTTTGGCATGCAAATTTCCTGGGAATAGTCATACGCTTCACTTCCATTCCCATCCAAAGGCCAGAAAATTGCAAAAGGAAAATCAACTCAAACAATGGCTGGTTTCAATAAAGCGGTGGGAGAGCGAAGGTTTGGGGCTGTGGTCAAAAGGGTGTTCAGAAAGCAGGCAGCTTAGGGTGCGAGAGAATTTCGCAATGCTGCAGAACGTTTACCATATACCCCAGAGCGCCAGAGTTAGAGCCATGAATGTCTGGCGATTAGTCAAGGAGAGTGTGCCGGTGCCACATTGCAACACATTTCGCATGCAAAGTGGCCAGGTGCCGGTGCAATTTGAGATGCCAGCCCAGAGGCTTGTGGCAGCCACAGATACGGGTGCTCGTGAGAGCAGAGCCACAGATAAGACGAGGCAGAGGCAAACACAGACGCAGACACAGAGTCAGAGACTGAGGTGGTGGTAGAGTCAGTAGCAGAGGCAGAGGCAGATGCAGAGGCTGGTGCGGAGGCAGAGGTAAAGGCAGCATCAGCGTATGCAAACGAGGTGGCAAGAGTTAAGCACACAATCATCAGCTGCGCATTTGCATCGTTGATGCATCGCTCTGTTCGATTGCCAATTGCCCAGATAGTGCAGGTGAAATTTGTGCTGCTTTCAGGCGAGCTTTTCCATTTGAAATTTCAAATTCCCATGCAACGCAGTATGCCCAAAAAGGTATGCTATATATTTTGATCTTAGATTTTCTCCTTCCTGATGAGGAGAAACGTTTAAATTAATAGGTAGCCAAGCTGCGGCCAGGTCACAGCCGGAAGAAACTTGTCTCATTATAATTTCCAGCAAGTGTTAAATTAGTGACTGCTTAAGTCAACGGCAGCCACCTCAAAGTCGGAAAAAAGTAACAGATTGTGCCCCAGGGACAAACACGCCCTCACACCCACACACACACGCACACACGCACACTCTGGGCAGGCAATAAATAGAAATGAGAGGAAAGAAAGAGAAAAAAAAGGATACAAGTTTGCAAAGTTTCACATCAGTGGCAGGCAGGCAGAGGCAGGCCTTTGAATAATTTAGTATGATACGAGAAAGGGCAAAGGGAAAGGGAAAGGGCAGTGGGATGCACTATGGTCCCAGTGACCACTTTTCTTGTCCTTAATTAATAACTCGCGAACGAATCAAGATTTTTGGATTTAGTCTTTTGATATTAGTTAAGAATAGGAAGAGGAAGGTTTTCTTTTCTAAATGGGCGTGGCAGGTTCTTTTTTTTAAGGGAAAATCTGTTTTTAATTTTTTTTCTCAAAATGTTAGAAGCAAAAAAAGGATGGGAATATGTTGAGCAGATCAAGATTCTTCAAAATAAAAGTCGTAGCACGAATTAAAACAACTTAAAAGTCTAAGATAACCGAATTTTTTGACCCACAAAGCATGCTCTTCAGCAGTTTCCATTATAAAACAATATTACACTGGCTACACTCTAGCCCTCTAAAAGCCCGCTAGTGACTAATACTGTGGCTTAAATGCAATGAGGTTACGATCTATAAATGCAAATTGTAAGAGCTGTGCTCAAATGTGGCTTTTCTGACTATAGACATTTTAACAATCATCTACGGCGGTCTACGACACACAACAGGTTTCAGGTGGGACTAGGTGGCACTCTTTTAAAAAAACTTTTTCAAAAATTAGTTTTCACTACAATCTGATACAAGTTGAAGGCCTCACTTTGACATAAAATTACGAAGACATCGCCAACCACTAGATACCATTCACATTAAAAAACTCGTAGTAAAAAGCCTACTGAACAAAATGCATCAAACAAATTGGATCAGTTGGAGATATTTAAAACAGCAATAAAGCTGGTACTTTTTCACTGCGCATGCTGTGCAATAATGACCGCTAGGTTTCACAGCAGATTTTTCGAAGGTGGCGCCATCTATGAAAATTTCTGGTACGCGGCTTTGATGGTCAATCTTTTTCTAATACAGAGCGACAAAAACTGCGTCTTGGTTTTAACTTTTAAAAATTAGCTTTTGGCCACCAAAAGTGGTCATTGGGACCATAGTGGGATGGCAGGATAGCCGGAGATGGAAAGAGCATTCCCAGAAAATCAGAGATATTCTCGCCTGCAGTTCGTTTATCAGGGGAGGATTTAGGGCGGGCCATAAAGCAGCGTTAAGTGACAAATTTAGAGCCGGAGCCGGAGCCGAAGCCGGAGAAGGGCTGTCCGCAAAGCGAGAGGCAAAAATGAAATGAAATGAACGGCAAATAAGGCGGAAATGTTGTACAAATCGTCCAAGATGTGGTCGTAGTCCCTCCTGTGTACACGTATTTGCGATGCCAGAGTGTAAATACGTACAATCCCCATATGGTTCAGTGGGTTCTCCTTGTGATTGTGTGGCCGCTGGTGTATGGTATATGCTCTGTAAGGTCACACCATTTGTCAAGTGGCGGCTAAGGCTGAAATCCTTTTTGTGCAAACATTTTGCGCTCCCTTGCGCAACTGAAATCAGCCTAATGCTCCCCCCCCCCCCCCCCCCCCCCCCCCCCCCCAATCCTGCCCCCCCTCCGTCCCCCTCCTCGCCCTCCCCCTCCCCCCCCCCCCGCCCCCCAACCCCCCACACCACACACACAACACCACACCA